CTGACTGAGGTATCGGCTTAATTGGACCTCAGGAATATGTGCTGAGGTTTTGTACAGACCTTTTAGGGACACCCTGTATAATCCTTAGAGATTTACTAATAACATGTGATGATTTCATGTTGTAGTTCAACTTTACAAAACCAAATCCATTCATTGGTTTAATATCAAGACCACAGAAAACTGAGAAAGTGTCTAGAATAAAGAATCTCTTGAAAAGAAAGCTGGACACTCCGAATGCAGGCTCTTTCAAGCTAATTGCTTCAGGCTCCCAAGGTCAGGACATGTTTGGAAATAATTTCTCGCCAATAGGAGACGATTTGCAACTCACGAATTTTGAGTTCAAGAAAAAATTATTTTGTGATATGGATAACAATAATAGGGGATCAGACTTGGATCAACCCAATTTGTTTGATTTCAGTCAGTAAGTTCCAATCAATGAATAAGATTATATTTCATTGAATTCATTACCTATAAAATGTTTGTATTTATTTTTTTGTTATTGTGTTTCCAGTTTTAGTTTGTGAGATAGAATTAAGGAATATTTTTGTTGCTTTAGTGAAGATATTAAATATTTTCAAAAGCATTCAAGGGGCTACACACAGTGTTGCAATACCTCGTGCAATACAATCAGAATTGAATTATAAGTTTTATTTTCGAAAATGGAATTTTTATTCTTATCCTTTCCTTCAAATTTCAAAATAATGTGTTGAATAGAAACAAAATTTTAAATAAACAAATATTTATTTATTTTTTATAATTGTTTTGTTTTTATCACTCTAATCAGCTAAAAATACTTCTGTTTCAAACATACCCGGTTGTCAATAAATACCAATTCAAAAAAAAATCACTAGAAAATAAAGAGAATAAATAAAAATGATGAACTTACGTTTTTTTTTGTGTCAACTTTGGCGTTAAATATCAGACATTCTAGAAACGACAATCTAAAAGCTTTTGATGTATACAGAGTATCCTTGTTCCACAAGCAGAAATCATTCTACTTTTACTTAAACTTTACATTCCAAGGCAAACTTTTCTGACAATCTGTCAATAACTTCCATGAACTGAACACTCTGTACACCTAAGACATATAACAAGTAGTTCTGATATGGAATTTCGAGATATTCGTTTGAATGAAGGCTTGAATGCCGACAAAAAAAAATCATGAGAGAATAAAAACTTATTTTCAAAGCTTAAAACTAACTTTGTACAAGAGCAAGGTATTTAAATGAAAGTGGATAGCGTTACATTATTTTCGTGGAAATCTGAGATTGAAAAGTGTGGATTGTACAGGGAATCTGATAATTGAATATTTAAAAAAATCGTGTTGCTTTAAATGTACTCATTTCACAAAATAACAGATTTATAGATATGGCAGGAATCAACATTTATTATCATATATCATTTCCAACATTTTCCAAATACAGTTCTCAACACACTAAGAAAATTTCAAGAAATGCACTAAAATGACTTTTCATCAGGAAAAAAAATGTTTAAAGGTGTATTGTGAATCAAGAACTGTAAGTTGGATATTTGGATGGCAATTTTTCACGTTTAAAAAAAATAGAGTTTATAAGAATGTGAAATCTTACAAAGTCAAATTTTCTATTTGTTAATTTTTCACCCCGTATTTTCAAAACAAAAAGATTCACGGTATATGTGGAACAATAACCTTACAATCATGTGATCAATAGCTGCAAAAAATGTCATTCCGATTTCTCGAATTTTTCAACCTGATGAGGGAAAAAATGAAATTGGAAATCATTGTGGGACACGCATATTCGGCACATTTGAAGCATCACAACCGCCTCATTTTTGAATTCAAGCATAAACTGTGGCATATCATCCTCAACAACAATATACTTCAGTGTGTTACACTTTGAGCACCACCAACCTTCTTTGAAATAGCATATTACATGAGGAAAGTGAAATATTTCGCGTGAGTAGTCGTTCAGCAAGACTGGCATAATGTAGGAATAGATATTTACGTAATCAGTTAGGAAACGCGTTGTTTTGTGTAACGATGGGATTTTGCGGGACGAGCGAAGCGAGATCCCGCAACATCACAGAGTTACACAAAATGGCGTTTCCTAACGTGTCACGTACAATATTTTTTCTAATTTTGACAAAACATTTCGCATGAACAAAAATAATGACCAGTTTTACATGAGTTCTGCCGACTCTTGTTGTGTGAAATGAATGAATGAAATGAACATTACATCACCAGTTATGTAAAATTTTACTTTACGCAACTGGTTACGTAAAGTAAGACGTTTCAAAACTTCCGTCAGTTTTGAAAAGTGTCACATTACATGTCAAAATTAGAAAAATACATTTTTCTACTACTAATATGAAAAGTAGCGCATTTCTCATAGCTTACTTAGTTTCAAAACTATGTATTGCTCATACTAACAGGTGCGTTCGGTTATAACATATCTGTTAGCTCGATTCCATCTGTTAGCTCAGAAAGCGTTCGATAAATCAGATATACTTCCTCAGTCTAATCTGCTCCGTGTTCGTTAATTGTCAGAGCGAGCAGAAAGATGTAATCTGTTTGCTCCGCCTTGAGGAGCAGATCATTCAGATTTGATCGGTTATTCGGCTGTCAATTGTCAACAAATCAAGGTCAACAACATATTATTGAAATTATCTCTTTTATGTCGAAAAATTGAAGACTCGATCAACTGGAAACGAAACACGAAACTGAATTTTGTAGAATCCTCCTTGCCCAGAATCGCCAGAATGACCGACGAATTTGCTGTAGGTAGCATATTAATTATATATCTGTAATATATGCGATCACAACTGCCCTGGATCCACAGTTAATGACCGATCATATGAGACAGAATCATTCCTTCCCAGCTTCCCTAGTAATTATCAAAATATAACAACATACATTCAAAAGAACTTTGTTGCCCTGACGTGTTTTTAAAAGTAATAAGTTTAAGTGAATTGTTTCTGTTTTCTGTTACTTCAGCTGGCGCTCGCAATCTACTACCTCCTTGAGCGTTCGTTAAATATCTTTAGCTCTATCTGCTAGGTGATCACGTGACACCAAATCTGCATCTGCTCGCTCGGCTCCGATTTTGTTAAACCGAACGCACCTGATTACTTGGATTTTTTGGAAAAGTGCAGTTGTAGAAAAAGTATATTGTGCAACAAAGTTGAACTTTCCCCACTTGTTGCATAATATACTATTTTCTACGGCTATAACACAAAATTGCTCTTTTACTGTGTTCGATACGTCAATGAGGTACTTTGTATGTCATCAATTTTATAACAATCAAAATAATCACCTCTCAAAACCACTAGCACTTGATGACCATCACTAACCTATTTTTTGAAAATACGCATCTGCATTTTTTAGTTCATTTTTTCATACCTTCGTATATCCCAAAAGATATGAGCTATTACAATTTTTTTCGTTTTCCAATTTTTTGTGTACAAAAATTGTCATTTCCTGTATTTTTTTTATATTCAATTGTTTTGAAACCTCTGAAATCTCTTCAAAATAAAAAATATAATGTATTTATACAGTGTGTCCCACTTACCATGCTCACCATGGGTATCTTTTTAACGGTGAGAGATACGAGGTCGGTTAAATGACACCAAATGTGGAGTTTGTCAAGGCCAACTATAATGTGAAAAAATATTTTGATGAAATCTATTCGTTTTTGTTTTGAATGCAAAAAACAGATTTTGATCATTTTGATGTCTCCTCCGTAACTTCTTCATTTATGAAAATATTCAAATAGAAATTTCACATTCTCATGGCAGTTTTTCAAAGTGATTTCGAAAAAAATATAAAATTTATACCAACTCTTCTAGAATTTGAGATATCAGCACCAACTTTAGTTTTTCAAATGTAGGTCATAGCTCACTATGACTTAGTTACAAATAACTTTTTTTTTCTCTTACAGATGATGTGTCGCAGTAATAGTTTTGTGTTGATAACAACGGAGTTATCGTCATTTATACAAAAACAATATTTGGAAGCCGCCATCTTGAATTTATAAATTTTAACAAAAAAATCATGATCTCCGACCTCAAAAACCCCCACTTACCAATTTTGAATGGAATCGGACCAAATCTTGTCCGCCATCAATTGAAAAAATGGCTGCTCCAAGATGGCGGACAAGATTTGGTCCGATTCCATTCAAAATTGGTAAGTGGGGGTTTTTGAGGTCGGAGATCATGATTTTTTTTGTTAAAATTCATAAATTCAACTTGGCGACTTCCAAATAATTCTTTGTTTTTGTATAAATGACGATAACTCCGTTGTTATCAACACAAAACTATTACTGCGACATATCATCATCATCTGTAAGAGAAAAAAAAGTTATTTGCAACTAAGTCATAGTGAGCTATGACCTACATTAGAAAAACTAAAGTTGGTGCTGATATCTCAAATTCTAGAAGAGTTGGTATAAATTTCATATTTTTTTCGAAATCACTTTGAAAATCTGCCATGAGAATCTGAAATTCCTATTTGAATATTTTCATAAATAAAGAAGTTACGGAGGAGACATGAAAATGATCAAAATCTGTTTTTTGCGTATAAAACAAAAACGAATAGATTTTATCAAAATATTTTTTCACATTATAGTTGGCCTTGACAAACTGTACATTTGGTTTAATTTAACCGACCTCGTATCTCTCACCGTTAAAAAGATACCCATGGTGAGCATGGTAAGTGGGACACACTGTAAACTACCATTTCTCGAATCAACATCTAGACTATACAAACCAAGGAATCTGCTAGATATTGACTCTCTCTTCAAAATGAGAGTATGCATTTTCATCCATTTCACTAAAAATGAAAAAAAGCACTGCAATCTTACCCATGAGCATCACACCAGACAAAGTGCATTTGAAAACTGTCAAAACAAAAACCCAATTTGGGAAAAAATCATATTTTTGTAGAATAAATATTTATAATAGTCTACCCAACAAGATAAATAATTTGTGTAATCAATTCAAATGTATACCAGAAAACTATTGATGATCTCCGGATAGTCCTTCTGCTGAAACGAAAAAAAAAAAAAAATCGGTCAAAAACTATAGATTTTATGAGGGTGCTCCGGTCTTAAGTGGGTCACACTGTATAAAGTGTCATCAATCATATTAATGATATTCAATATGTGGCACACATTTCTCCACAAATTTGAAAGACAGGGTGTTGCATGAAAATAAAAAAGTATAATTCCATCATATCACTTTGGTCACAGGGGTCTATGGTATGATTTTGTACAGACCTTTCAGGAACACCTAGTACATTCGATAACAAAATAGTTTGTTCAAGAAAAGAAAGAGGTAATGCTCAAAGTGTACCATCAGACACGAACTCATCGGAAAACACACTTTTCCCAAAATGCCGTATCGATCTGTGTATATCACCCGCTCATTCTTATTTACATTTATTTAAAATATATGTCAATCTTTGAGATCTGACGACATTTTGGAAAAGTGCCGGCGACCAGCCAAACGTCGTTTTTCGCTAGCGGAATGTCTCCCCCTCGAGGGGGGCGCTTATAATATCGCAGCGTCTATACTTCTATGGGGTATGAGGGGGCTCAGAGCCCCCGCTGCTTTCTGGTTGCGCTCCAACTCGTAGTGAGCTTCTAAAGGTATGCCTTGAAAAGAAAAAAGACTATGTGAAAAATTCAGAAGCACACTTGGAAGAATTAAAATACTTTATTATATATCAAGAACGAAAAACTGTCTATTATAGTCGAGTCTGCAAATTAATAGCCGAGGCTAACAATTAGGAGAGACAATAGACAGTTTTTCGCCGAGGAGCATATTCAATTTTTTCGTCGACCTCAAACACGTATATATCCACATCACGGTCCAATTCACACGTGAAATCTATCGGATTTCGTGACAAAAGCAAATGACAGTTGCAGTTCAAATTTTGAATAGAATCTGATCATAATTCGCCATTTTGAATTTCCTAATTTTGACCTCGAAAACCCCCAGTTACCAATTTCGAATAGAATCTGATCATAATTACAAAACTCGTCCGCCATATTGGATTCACCATCATGAATACCCAAATTTTGACGGAAGAATCACAATCTCCAATCCCAAAAACCCCCAGATACAAATTTTGAATGGAATCTGATCATAATTTAAAAACTCGTCCGCCATATTGGATCCGCCATCTTGAATTTTCAAATTTTGACGAAAGAATCATAATCTCCGACTTCAAAAACCCCCAGATACCAATTTTTAATAGAATCGGACCATCATAAAGAAAACTCGTCCGCCATTTTGGATCCGCCAGCTTGAATTTCCAAATTTTGACGAAAGAATCCTAATCTCCGACCCCAAAACCCCCCAGATACCAATTTTGAATAGAATCGTATCATAATAAAAAAACTCGTCTGCCATATTGGATCCGCCATCTTGAATTTCCAAATTTTGACGAAAGAATCATCATCTTCGACTCCAAAATTACCCAAATAAAAATTTTGAATGGAATCTGATCATAATTAAGAAACCCGTCCGCCATATTAAATTTTCAAATTTTGACGAAAGAATCATAATCTCCGACTTCAAAAACCCCCAGATACCAATTTTTAATAGAATCGGACCATCATAAAGAAAACTCGTCCGCCATTTTGGATCCGCCAGCTTGTATTTCCAAATTTTGACGAAAGATTCCTAATCTCCGACCCCAAAACCCCCCAGATACCAATTTTGAATAGAATCGTATCATAATAAAAAAACTCGTCTGCCATATTGGATCCGCCATCTTGAATTTCCAAATTTTGACGAAAGAATCATCATCTCCGACCCCAAAAATACCCAAATAAAAATTTTGAATGGAATCTGATCATAATTAAGAAACCCGTCCGCCATATTAAATTTTCAAATTTTGATGAACGAATCATATTCTCCGACCCCAAAAATTCCCAGATACAAATTTTGAATGGAATCTGATCATAATTAAAAAGCTCGTCCACCATATTAGATCCGCCATCTTGAATTTACAAATTTTGACGGAATAATCATAATCTGCGACCCCTAAAACTCCCAGATACAAAATTTGAATGGAATCGGACCATAAAAAAAACTCGTCCGCCATATTGGATCCGGCATCTTGAATTTTCGATTTAAGAAATTGATTACGACCGATTCTCATAACTACCGAATACGCACGGTCGAGTTGTTTCGGAGGAGTTTGGCCACTAACACCGTGACTGGGACAGGAGAATTTGATATATTAGATATCATTCTCCCCTTTGAAAAGCTGCATCGTTTGGTAGGTACCTAAATATACAGGAAAGTCGGTAATAGTCACAGAATAATTACATTTTGAAATACATATACTCGTGAAAAAGAATTGAAACGTAATTTGAAAACATGATGAGGGTCTGCTCAGCTGTCCTTACTTCCTTAGAAACACAATGAACTCTGTTAGTTATAAATCAGTGAGATTTCGAGATTAGATTCACGTCCTGTGAATATTATCCACTAAATTAGTGTCGTCAGTGAATATTAAGATTGCTAATATCCTGATTTATAATTATGGAAGTCGCTTTCCTGTCTGTCTGCGTCTGTTTGTTACAAATTTTGTAATCGAATTTTCACCCTCTTCCAGTTGACCATTGAAATGGAATTTGTTCCGGTGACAGATGTAATTTGACTCATTGCAGACAGAATCAAGATGGCGGGCAATTTTGTCATTTCTCCTATCAACATATTTTTGAGGTCGATGAACAGGAATTTCTGGTCAAGATATCGCGTCCAAAATGGCGGACAGGTTTGTCATTTCTCGCCCGATTCGACTGAACATTTATATTGGGTGGTTTTTGAGGTTGAGTAAATAGAATTTTCAATAAAAATTGAAAATTTTAACGAAGCACCTCCAAAAGAGGACAGTTTAGGCATTTTGGTTTGATTTGCACTTACCAGAATCGATTAGTGGTTTGGATGGTATGAAAGATGCTACAAAAAGAGCACAAATGACTAGAAAAGCTCCAAACACGAATGGCGGGCCTGGCACCAGCTGAAACAAAAATTGAAAGTAATGATAGTAGAAGTACTATTTTTAATTCATTCATTAGATATCATCAAGAGCATGGTTTACAGATCAATTTTCTTCGAAAAAAAAATGTCTACAATTATTGAGAACATAATATTATGTACAGGGTGTTAATAAATAACGTATTCTAGGATTCACTCCAAAACTGCCAAATCTTACTCAGTGGTGTATTGAATATATATTTTTCTGATTCATTCATAAACTCACCTGCGAATACGTTTCAAATGTTGGCGTGGAATGTGTAGCAACATGTTCGGCATCTGAAACGTTCAGATCCACGTGGAACATGTAAAAAATCAAACCAAACATGGCGGGACCCAAACCATTGCACAAGCCTCTCATTCCTGTAACTATACCTGCAAGACAAGAAAATCGTCCGTTAATTTCAAACAACGGCTGAATCTGTCGAAGGTGACATTTTTTTAATTCGAGAAAAAACAATTATGTCCCATTACATCAACTTTGTTTACTGCTATGACAGAAGAAGGCAATAACTGCTTTAGCAGTTAGAGATTGCTGCTATAGCAGAAGGCTCGGCAGAAGGGGATTACTGCTACCACAGACAGACATTACTGCTATAGCAGGAAGAAATTACCGATAGAGCAGAATGAGGCGATAAATGCTATAGCAGTAAGAGATTACTGCTATAGCAGAAGAGGATTCCTGTTATATCATAATGGGATTACTAACTATAGCAGAAGGTGACTACTGGTATAGCTGTAACCGCCAATAAATCTGTCAAAAGTGATATTGGTTTTAATTCCAGAGAAAACAATTATGTCCCATCACATCAGCTTTGTTTACTGTTGTGGCAGACCAAGGTGATAAATGCTAAAGCAGTACGAGATTCTTGCTATAGCAGAAGGGGATTACTGCTTTTTGTTTTCAGACATTACTGCTATAGCAGGAAGAAATTACCGATAGAGCAGAATGAGGCGACAAATGCTATAGCAGTAAGAGATTACTGCTATAGCAGAAGAGGATTCCTGTTATATCATAATGGGATTACTAACTATAGCAGAAGGTGACTACTGGTATAGCTGTAACCGCCAATAAATCTGTCAAAAGTGATATTGGTTTTAATTCGAGAGAAAACAATTATGTCCCATCACATCAGCTTTGTTTACTGTTGTGGCAGACGAAGGTGATAAATGCTAAAGCAGTACGAGATTCTTGCTATAGCAGAAGGGGATTACTGCTTTTTGTTTTGAACTAAGAAAAACAATTATGTCAGTAAAATGCGATAACTGCTATAGTAGAAGGGATAACTGCTACAGCAGTAAGAGATTGCTGCTATAGCAGAAGGGGATTACTGCTATAGCAAAAAGGGATTACTGCTATAGCAAAAAGGGATTACCGCTATAGAAGAAAGGGCTTCTACTGTTATAGCTGCAACCGTCAATAAATCTGTCAGAATTAACATTTTTTTAATTCAACAAAAAACCATTATGACCCCTTACATCAACTTTTTTACTGCTACGGCTGAAGAAGACGATAAATGCTATAGCAGAAAGAGGTTGCTGCTATAGCAGAAGAGGATTACTGCTAAAGTAGAAGGGGATTACTGCTATAGCAGAACGCGACTACTGGTGTAGCTGTAACCGTCAATAAATCTGTCAAATGTGACATTTTTTATTACGAGAAAAACCAATTATATCCCGTTACATCAAGTTTGTTTGCTGCTATTGTAGAAGCAGGCGATAACTGCTATAGCAGTAGACAATAACAGCTATAGCAATAGACGATTACTGCTATAGCAGTAGACAATAACTGCTATAGCAATAGATGATAATTTCTATAGTAGAAGGGCACTACTGCTATGGAAATAACCGTCAAAATGTCAAGAAAAAAATTCGCAAAGTAAATGTACTTACCTTGCACTACGCCCTGTCTATCGGCAGTGCTGTGAACAGAGACGAAGGCCGAGATGGCGGGATATGTGATGGAGCTCATCGAGGCCAATATGCCGGCCCCCCACATCATCCACGTGGTGGTGCCGAAGCCGTACCACAACAGCTGCAGCATCTCGAACACCAGGCCCAGCATGATGGTGTGCTTGGAGCCGAGGTTCTTTATTAGAACACCTGGAACAAACGATACGAAAACCATAAAGATGAGCTCCATTTATTGATACTATTTGAATGAGTACGAACTGGAAACTCATTATCATCGAACATATTGGTCCTTCGAGCCGGATTTATTCAAATCAAACCTTCAAGACTGCCAAGTTCTCCACAAAGGATACAAAGCAACACTCAAGAGGTCGCTAGTTTACTGAAAATGTGGTCCATAAGGGCGAATTTCGCAAATTTCGTCCCAACAATCCCAGAAAAAAAAACGAAAAATCCTCCAATGGCCACCCACCTAAACACAGCTGCGTGATGACAGCCAGCAGCCCCACCAGCCCCACGAACACCGCTACCATGGGCGCACTCCACCCCATCACCAGCTTCAAATACACGAAGATGCAGCTGTACTGTCCAGCTTCGGGCAAATACGAAAGAAAGACGGCGATGCAGAGAAGAAGGATGGTGGGATCTTGGCCGACGTTGCGCAGCGCAGCGAATGGGTCGGCCTGCTCCCAGCCGATGGGGGAGGCACGGACCTTTTCGGGGAGGCTTTCGGGGACCGCTACCAGGATGAAGAAGACATCGAGGATGGCGACGGCTGTGGCTAGAGCTACGACGAGGGACACCGACCACCTGAACATGGACAATAATAATAATATTCATAAATACGAAATCATTTATTTATACTGCTAAAACAACAGGCCTTTGACCCAATTAAAAAACAACATTTGTATCACATACAGTACACACTTGAGATGACTTTATAGGAAGAGTAAAATTACGTAAATTGAAAAACAAACGAAAAAAATTCACAACACAAGCCACTAACATGGTGACGTTAAATAATTAAAAAAGTGGTAAAATACAATTAAATAATTTATAATCATTGTCAATTGTATTTCAGAATAGTCATTCGTATTTCAGAAAACATCAATTGTATTTCAGTACAGTCAATTCAATTTCAGAAAGCGTCAATTGTATTTCAGGATAGTCAATTGAATTTCAGAAAGTGCCATTTGATCTTCAGAGAATATTATTTGAAATTGAATTGACTATTCTGAAATACAATTCTGTGTGTGCTTCTGTGTTTTCTCCGAAAAGAATTCAAGGAAAAAAGTTGTCTTCAAAAATCATGACCGACCCTCTAAAAACATCCTTTATAACTATAGCAGAAATGTAGAAGTATATAAAAAAACTGTATTTCATCAACATACATTTATGCAGGAAATTTCAATTTGGTTGCTTCTACCGTTAAGAAGAAAAAAATATTTCAATCTAATCAACTTTCGAAGGATATATCTCCTTCAATACACATTTTGGGCCATTGGTTTATTCATCAAACTATACTCATTTTTCAATGTACATACTATCACATCCAGAATGCTGAGTACACAATTTTGATTCACTCTTTATATTTACATTTGTTCTCATTCAATGACAGGTCGTTCAGCTCACAGAAAGTGATAAACCTATTGAGATCTTGTTGAAGTCTGTTACATTCATCCTTAATTACTCTATATAGCTTATTATAATGATAATAATAATAAGAATTGTAATTTATTGAACAATGTTCAAATTGATATTGAGCAAACCAAAGACCTTCTGCCAATTTATTGAGTCCATCCTTTAAGTGGAGTTCCTGGTGTGCATTAGAAAAACATCTTGTCACCTCCACAACATAGAGGGTGTCCAGAAAAATTTCTACTGCAGATTCCAGGAACGAAAATGGTAGTGCACTTCTTTAATATATTTTGTGTGCGTACACTGTACAATTTTTTTAATATCGAAATACTGTTTCATTATTTTACGGAAAAGTGTGAAATAAAGTACACTTTTTTCACGGTTGTTGCCAGGCAATGGAATGAATGCTTGCGTGAAAGGGGCAAAATGGTCGTTTTCGCTAGCCAGACACCAGACACTTCGGTTTTGCGTCATCTTTGTTCGAATATATTTGTTCAATGAACAAAACAGCCCACCAACAACGCATTCTACGGGCTCCTTTACGGGATTCAGCAAGGCAGCAAGCGAACAAATCAAGGCGGATCGCATCTCATGTATGATTTGTATTATCAATAAAGTGACATGAAATGAGTAAATGTACTTGATAATAATTGCGAAATATCATTCAATCATTTACACCATACGTTGAATGAGGCTGCCCTCTATTTTGACAGTTGTAGGAAAAATATTGTATGTAACACGTGCGCAAAGTGTTTTTTTACTCATAGGAATTGACTCCGCCTTCGTTACCAGTCCATTTATGGCAGGTAACAAAACAATATCAATCATCAAACATATCAGACATTAACATATAGATAAAAATTTATATTAATAGATAACATCGATAGGAAAAGTTCTAGGTAAATGAAAAAAATAGAAAGAACGTAAAATGCGGTACATATTAACATTATGAATAATATAGATAATGAATATGATGAGTACTATTGATCGGTCTCATGGGAATGGAATGTGGGAAAATAAAAACTATCAGACAATCTTTTGTTAAATCATAATATTCCTAATCTTGTACAAATAAAAATTTTTCCACATGAACTGGGTATCTACATTTTTTTTATTGACTTGATGAAAATCGATTATAAATTTATTGTATTTTCGGACATATTTTAATACAACACAAGGTGTCAACGGCTATGGATTGAATTTTTCTTCTACGTTTTTTATATGCAGTAACATATGGGACAATTCATCTTATATAGGACAGAAATTTATTATTGATTAGACAGGACTCTTTATTTAAAAAACAACTGATATAAATGTGACATTCCATCTCCCCTCCCAAATAATGACAGATCATTGAAGCCTGAGATGTTTATAAGACTATGGTGTTCTCAATGCCATGGTTAGATTAGTCAAAAACTGATGACATAAGGTTCTTGTTCATAGAAAATCCTTGAGAGGCGCTGATATCGTCATAACTTTGATGGTCATTGGACCAAATAACAACAATCGTGACCGAACCTTATATAAACATATATATATGAATATATAGATTTTTGACTGCTAGAATTTTAGCAGCAGGCATGGTAATCCAGAATACACCAGGCATCTTCCAAAACGTGCGACAGTCCATGATCAGAAGATGTCAATCATGTATTGAAAAAAAAAAGTGCTTCCACTTACCTCTCCATCAAATACGCCCCCAAAGCTGGCGAAATGACCATGCTGGCCGCAAAAGTACCGCTTACTAGCCCGTACGCCAAAGACCTATACAAAAAAGACCACTTATTGGCTGAGGATTCACGATATATCAATAGCCGCGATAGAGTTTCGCGAGTTTTTCTGAATATCTTAATTTTTTACAAGCTTTTTTTCAGTTTCAACTGTCCTGGTGCCTTTGTGTCTATATAAAAACTACACAAACGATAAGATTTCCACGAAATTCTTAATGACAGTACATGTTTCGCTAACACAGTAGCTTCATCAGGTGAAATACTGGTACAATGAAATAAACTAACCTTTGCTTGCCTACCTTTTATATATCCTACTTTCCCAACCTGAAGGATTAGAATTACCTGTGGAAAGGTTCGATAAACCTTCATTTTCGGAAAATAGGCACAATATTAAAATACAGTGTGATGGATTAACTTGAAGGGGTTGATAGCAAATACATATTATTACCTACTAAGAAAACGAATTCAACAGTGGTGAACTATTGAGGTCTAGTTGATCGATTTCTAATGATTGAAAATGATTGAAATGAAATTATCATCACATCTATGGTTTTCTTCTAATATATGACTGACGTATGTTGAATTTTTTCCTTTTTCAAAAAATTCATCTTATGTTCCTAAATTCGCTGATTAAACGTACGACGTGTCTGACCGATATTGATTTTACGAATTTAGAAGTTGTGTCTTTATTATTTTTGATATACCTTCCCAACGTGTTATTTGTTCTATATGCTACTTTTAAGTAATGTTTATGTAAAAATGAAGCTAATTTTTCAGTTGATGATCCAAGATAGGTTTAAGTTCTATAATTTTGATGCTGTGTCTGTCTGTAATCAGATCTTGCAAGTTAACTATGACACTTCTAATCGTCTGATTGATCTGAAATTTAGTGTATAGGGTGATTGTTCATATTTTACTTCTCGTTTTACTCAATAGCTACCTCAGTTAATATTGGTCCTACAGAAACGTTCGAAAGTGGAGTATTTTTTATGGGCATTCAAAATCTATTACTAGAAAATGCAAAGAAGCATCATAAACCTAAAAATTTTACATGAACTGGTATTTTTCATATGGAACACCCTGTATTTCATTTTTCTAAACGGTAGAGCTTTTTAATTTCAAATATACAGGGTGATTCAGGATTTAAACAATCTGTAATGGGTGATAGATTTCATCATTTTGATCTATAAGGTGTCTATAAATAATAATATATGTTCCCGATATCGATCAGTAGCGGAGATACAGGAGGTCGAAGTTCAATCATTGTTTTCTATTAATTGAAATATCTCGCTTACTTCTGAAGATATCAATTTGAAATTTGTTGTGGTCAATACTATTTTGGAGATCACCATATGAAGCATTTCAAAGATTTTTGAAATCCACTGGGTGATACATTTCTGATGGTAGAGGCTTCTTTATTCCACCCAGATTTTTTCCTATTACGTCTCTGACATCTTCCAGTTACCAAATAAAGTGGAAAATTCAATTTAATAGTAGGAGACCCTGTTGCAGATTTCTACCGTCATCTGTTTCCAAAGGAAAGTAAATACATTGTAGTTCATCGAATGGCACCTGTGCCAATCCCTATCCTGAGCAAAACGATTGAAAAATTGCACTTTCCTGTGCGGAAATTTGCACTCGATTTCGCGATTTGATAACAAGATGAGAATTATGCCATCCGATACCAATTTAATGGTTGATCTCAAAAACCCCTCAGTCTGAGCCAAATCTACGGCACAGCGATTTATTTGCTATTATTCCGGACATACTTCCGTCATGTGATAACGAGTTGAAACAAAGAGAAAATGAAAAGGAAAAATGCCGCTTTTACGTATATCCGAACTGATCTGAGTTAGTGGCAGAGCGTCAATATGTCCGTAAATATTTCGCCCTCGTCGAGAGATAATATCCGATGGACCAGTTTGAGTTTTACACTGGTCCATCGGATATTATCTATAGAGGGAGAAACAGAAAACTACTACTTTTCTGGCTATATGCCACGACGAACATTGAACTATACCTATCTATTGAACACACACGATAAGAATTTGAAAATTTGCATTCACCGTCTTGCTCGATATGACGTAGAGAAATCATAGTAAGCGGTCGAGTGATGTTTTTTCTACTAATTTCCATCATTCTATTGAGTGAAATATAAATCACAATCACCCTGTACATAAATAATTCTGGTGGTAATGCATCATGAAATTTTTGTTAGAGAAAAAAACAAAATGGCGGTTCCAAAATGGCAGATGAGATTTTTAATTATGATCCAATTCTATTCAAATTTGGTATCTGATGGTTTTTGGGGTCGGCAATTATGATTCTTCCGTCAAAATTGGAAAATTCGAGCTGGCGGCTCCAATATGGCGGATGTTTTGTAATTATGATCAGATTCTATGCAAAATTTGTATCTAGAGGTATTCGGGGTCGTAGATTCGTTCCCGATATTGAAAAATTCAAGATGGCGGATCCAATATGGCTAAAGAGTTTTTGTAATTGTGATCCGATCTTATTGAAAATTCGTATCTGGGGGTTTTCGTGATCGACAATTATGATTCTTCTGTCAAAATTGGAAAATTCAAGATGGCGGATCCAATATGGCAAACAAGTTTTGTAATCATTATCCGATTCTATTCAAAATTGGTATCAAGGGGTTTTCTGGGTCAGAAATTATGATTCTTCTATCAAAATTGAGAAATTCAAAATGGCGACTTCAAAGTGGCGGATGAATTTTGTGATCATGGTCCAATTAAATTAAAATTTGGTATAAGGGGGCTTTTGTGGTCGGATATTTTTACAATTACAAGCAAATACAAGCTTTTATACAAATGCACTTGAAAGGATAAAACCTCGGAGAAAACAAATATATAAAAAAACGTTTTCAAAGACAAGCTTATATAAAAATGCACTGAAAAGGAAAAAAATAATTTCTTTCATGTTTGATCTAGGTTATTTCTGTGAGATTCAAAAGCTTACTGTGGATACAAAATAGGAAATTTTGTGTGGTAAGATTTGGAAAATGTTTTATATAACATTTTTTCATCATAACCATTATTATTATTATTATTATTATTAGTGATATTATCTACCTCTCACTCTCGTCTGTGACGTCAGCTACATAGGCAAAGACCACACTGAAAGTGACTGCAAATACACCAGAAATACTGATCATGGCAAAGAACCAAAATGTATTGATAGTCATCAAAGGAATTGGTATGCAAGTGAAGAACACTGTAATGAGCAGAAAAAGCTTCCTGCCACACACATCTGATAGGGCTCCTACAAGGGGGGCACTCAGAAAAGACAGGATACCCTAAAAAAAAATAGAATAATAATTTTCAACATCTTTTATTGTCATTTGAATTTTTAACCTACCTTTATGCCCATTATGAGACCATTCATGAGAAAGGTATGGTCAGGGAATGTAGTATTAAGCACGGATATCAGTGGCATGGTCAGGAGACCCCAAGCAAAGAACTCCAAAAAAATAACCACCAGGGCATGATAAAGACTGGGTTGACCAATGCCAGAGGTCTGAAAATAAAAAGTTTGATATGAAAACCATGATTGATTTTTTTGTGAGCAAGTCTATTGATCCCTCATCAGAATACTCCTCAGAAACAAATTAATATACTAGCTAGGCTAGGACTAGAATGTTAATTTGTTAATATAGTGAAATTATTGTGAAATGAAATGATAGATAAAGGACTTAAGCAGCTTAACACAAAGCCTAATCAAACAAATACTCCAATGAAATCAGTGAATCATTAGATAGCCAGCCTTCAAGCAATGCTTTATAGTATGTTATAATTTGAATTGGATAAATTACTCAACAGAATTTAGTTTCAAAACAGAGCAAAACTGGCAAACTCAATATATTCAACTCAGTTATTCATAGGGATGAGTTTAAATCAATATTTTGGCCAGTGTTGATGAGTATGAGTATCCAAATATATTCAGTTTGATTCCATTGAATTGGTAGGTACTATTCATTTAAAAATGTATTTATTTTCAAAATGTCAGAATTTTCAGGTCAATGATTATGAATAATTGTATTCAAATAGTGAATCAGATAAGGAATTGAGAAAATGAAAAGTTTTCAGATAAAAAAACATTGTACTCACTGGTGTTTTGAGATAAAATTTTTTGAATCTTCTAAAATTAAGAACATACTTTTTGAACAAATAAAAGAATATGATCATACACATAAATGTAACTGATACAGTGGATACAAAGAGCTTAGACAACTAAAAAAAGCAGGCAATAGATAACTAATTACCTACTGATATCATCACTGATATGGAACATTCAACATAAATATGTTATCTCCACATGGGTAGTGAGGTACCAACTGTACAAAGCCCTATAATGTAACTAGTAACTGTATCCATCCTATCATTATAAGAGTGCCATCCTATTCATGTTTCTTTAGGGCCAATTATAAGATTATGAAATATTCATTTATTGGTTGTAGAAAATAGTAAATATTATCTAATTCAAAATAACTTCAACTAACTTTTTAACTAATTAGTGTTACTTTGTAGAGGGATTTTACATTACCCTTGTAATATCACTGAGAAATGTGCCATCTACATATTTTTCAAATGAAGAAATAAAACATAACTCATTCCAATTTCTTCCCAGGGAAATGATAAAAAAATCATAATAAATCAATTTCATAAAAATTTTGAAACCATTAACTATGAATGAAGGTGAAAATATAATATTTATTTCTTCAACTCATTCTGGAGTTAAATTTTATGAATAGTATAAGGTCCCATACAGGGACAGAGATTTTAATGTTTATATTGGGGACAATTAAAACGCATTAAAATAATATGTGGGAAATTTTTCACAAACATCTTTAATCAATCGAAATAGGTATATTCATTATTCCAGATTTTTTGGGATTTTCACGAGGATTTTCACTCCTCATTTCTATAAAATAAAATAATAATATTCATATTTGTATTTTATAGAAACGAGGAGAGAAAATCCCAAAAAATCTTGAATAATGAATGTACCACATCCTCGATTAACCTACAGACAATATTTAGAAATAGGTATATCACAAAATAAAACCAAAAATTAATTAGAAAAATGGTAATAATATAGAAACGTCACTCACTGTCACAACAGCATCCTTAGCAATTGATTTTCTGGATCTAATTATCATCCCAACCATTCGCTTCGACGACTTGTTCTTCATATTTCTATCTTCTTCGATTTCAATTTCCATTGAAAACGCTTCAAAAACACTTCAGAATCAACATTTTCTAGTTATCACCACAAACGCTCACAAAAAAATCTCTCCTCTCCTGCAAACTGCAACAATAAATTTCATAACCTTACTCAATAAATGACAAATTTGACATATTGACATATGAGAGCATGAAGACATGGAAATTCTAGACAGACCAAGACATTTTTTCAGTGAACCAATCGGAATCGGTTATATCAACCACAGAACGCGTTTTCTTTTTATGACATTTTGGATCAACTAGATGGCGGCACTATGCAGCAATCAAGCTTGACGTTTCAAAAATTTCGCATAACCAAATATGGGGATTTCTTGAAGTTAGAAGTGAACTAGATATGAAGTCTGAAGTGTCTTTTAAAAATATCCTCATTTTGAATTTCTTGTAAAAACCTAAATGTACAAAACTCTTATACAATCTTTTTAGATAAAAAATAGTAAACTAAACACCAAGGTTAGTCCTCCCTGCAATTTTTAAACATGATTTTTTAAGGTTATGTTTGTACTTTATAAATTGTTATTATTGTACAGATGTCTTTCCGTGTAGTACGCTCTTCCAAGTTCAGACACGTATACGGCCAAGCTTTGAAAAGGGAACAATGCTATGATAATATTCGTGTATCAAAGAGCTCCTGGGATTCTACATTTTGTGCTGTGAACCCCAAATTCTTGGCTATCATAGTTGAAAGTGCTGGTGGAGGTGCCTTTATAGTCTTGCCCCACAATAAGGTAAACAAATCTACAATTATACATAATATTCCTTCTCGTATTCCTTACAATAAAATAAAAAACTCATATTTGGTAATTTTCATCATTGACCTCCTCATTGACTTTGCTTTAATTTTTATGAACCAGTGGATTGAAGAAAAGCATAATAATATAAGAAAAATCATTTCAAATTAGTTATAACAAAAAGAGTTATTTTTTTTTATTTCAGTTCGTAAAATTTGTAATATTTTAGTAGGTATGCTGAAATTGCAATTTGAAATGATTTTTTTGTTGGGTTCTACTGGATTATCCTATTTTTAAATATTATGGCCTATATTCAGTTTTTGATACTCTGCCAATTCTGTGGAACTTAGAAAATGGGAAAATCACATTTGTTGACTATTCCTGAGCAATGAAATAATAGTAAATCTTATATTTCCAGATCATTATTTATATCAAATTGGTCAAAAACAATTTGTAATGCAATATAGATAAAAACATGAAATAACACAATTATATAAAGTATATGTATACCTACTCATTTTGGCAATTTGTGTATTTGTGCCAAACATTAGAAATAGACAAAACAACACTTGGCATAGAATATGGGCATATTGGTAATATTTTTTTAAAAGCCTATGCTCTCTTATGTACTCATTTATACAAAATTCCAAATTCATATTCTTATCCTTAGTAATTGAAAGACCAGCAAACAACAATTTAGGGCACATAATTTTCAATTTTATCATGCCATATGTTGGATTACTCTACAGTTTTCAATAAAAAAAAGATGTTTTTCAGCCTGGTGTCTGGTGCCCTATCACTCTGATAGTGTTATCTCATGAGTATACTGTAGGTCTATTGTTTTTCATATTGATAAACATTTTCAATGATATTTATCATATCATGTTCCATTCATATTGTTATAGATTTCAAAGGAACCAATCAACTCACAACTATTTTTACATTGAACTGATTAATCTAGCATGAACTAATAAAAAAAAATTACACACATGCCAATTTGAGTTTTCTTTATTGTTTCATCAGTATTTTTGTTGCAAAAGTTGTTGGGACTATAATGGCCGACTTCAAACATCCTGTATTTGTACAGTTGCTCAGTTTTCTTTAATGAGTTCATCACTTTTTTATGAAGCTCTGGAACCGACACATAAAATAAAAAAATGTTAACTCTTCAAAATTCTGAGTTATAACTCGAAATTTTAAAATTCCGACTTATATCTCGGAATTTTGCATCCAAAATTCCGAGTTTTAACTCAGAATTTCAAAATTCCGAGTTATAAACCGGAATATTGAATGTGAAATTCCGAGTTATAACTCGGAATTTTAAAATTCTGAGTTATAACTCGGAATTTTTAATGTAAAATTCCGAGATATAAGTCAGAATTTCAATATCGGAACTCGGACTTTCAAAATTCTGAGTTATAACTCGGAATTTTGAATGTAAAACCCCGAGATATAAGTCAGAATTTCAAAATCCTGAGTTATAACTCAGAATTTTGAATTTCCGAGTTATAACTCGGGGTTGGTACTGCCACCACGCTTTCATTGGAGGTAAATTCAGTGGCGTACACTGTTTTTTTTTCAGAATTCTCGAAAATTAAAAAATAAATAAGTGCTTTATCTTGCCAAGAGATCTTTAGTTTGCTTTTTCAACCTATGTCATAGATCAGTAAATACTGAAATTTATACTAAACTATGAAATAATAGATAACTTTGAGATCAATTAAAGAAACTTCATGTCAAATTCTGTAAAGTACTCCAATTATTGGTATTATTTTCTTTGTATTGAATGCAATATGTTTTTAATTCACATGCAAGTTAAGAAACTTCTAATGTGTGGCCTATAGCCTACGTTAATCATCCTGTATTTTATGGCTTTGTCATTATGAATGTATTATCCTATAATAGATAATGTTCTGGCCTAATGTGATTTGAACCAAAAAAAAAACAATTTTTTTTTTTCGGTTATTCTTCAGGTGGGGCGCATCGCAGCTGACCACCCCCTCGTGGGGGGCCACAAGGGCCCCGTGCTCGACATAGCATGGTGTCCGCACAACGACAACGTCATAGCCAGCGGCTCAGAGGACTGTGTGGTGAAGGTGTGTACTAAATGTGAAACTAGGGAAAACATTATTGGACACTAGCTACTAGCAGCGGCTAGAGTTCCTAAATGTACTTGACACTGTTGTTTAGAAACGTCAAAACAGCAGTGTCATTTACATTTAGGAACTCTAGCCGCGGCTTCCCTCGCGTTGAAGTGTGGTTGAAGCCCTTAAATAAAGGCACTGTCTACACGACCGCCGTCGGCGGTTGGACACTGAAACATAAACAACTAGGGTGGGGGAAGCCCCAGGTGATTCCAGGCACCTCTGGTTAAAATCTTGAGGTCCCCACTCTCGTCATGGTAGCGGTACGTGAGAAAGGCCGCGAACGGTCACCCATCAAACGGGACTGGAGGATTCCGGTCGACATGGGTAGCTGGGCTTGCTCAGCGAAAACTGGAACTTTGATGTACCTTCTGCCTTAGTTCGACCGTAAGGGGGTAGCCCAAGCGATCCTACCGCCAGTCAACGTAGGAAAGCCGGGTCCTCTCCTATAAACGAGGTAGAGGGACGTGTAAAAGTGTTCGAAGGATCACTCATTTAACGGGACGAGAGGATTCTTGTCAACATGAGTAGCAATCAGTCCAAAGCCTCTTGCGACGGCGACCCATCAAACGTAACAAGAGGAATCTTGTTGACATGGGTACCTGGGGTCATGAGGATAGCCCCATCAGGTCGTACATAAGGCCTGGTGCCTCACCAATTGGGTTGGACTCCAGGGAGCAGCGGTTTCCAAAAAACACCACCGGAATACGGTAGAGGAGGTGAAGAAGAATCCCACTATGGGTCAAGTGGAAGGATATCTTGCCTGCCTCGGCGGGTGAGCAGCGTGCAGAGCCAGTAGTCTGTTTTATCAGACGGCCACACCATTGGTATATTTAAATGGTAGCAGGAGAACATGCCGTTACATAACGGAGATGGCTCTAGCGCGCTGATTTGGCGTATCCAAATCCTCCATTTCTCCCTGGGGTATGCTGTCGGTATAAGTCGAGAGACAGGTGACCGGCAGAGGAGGGTGGGACTTGGTCTCACCCGTTGCTACCCCGGCAACATTATTGATTGATCTTTTATATAGAAGACCGCCGTGAAACATGAGGAAGGAAAATATCGTTTCTGCATGAAAAAGGAGACAACTTTTTTCAAACAAACTAACCTAACTCGCCTAAATAAACATTTCTCCTGAGAAGTATATTTTTCGAAAAATTATTTGTGAGAAAAAGTTTAAAAAAAGTTGGGCCTCGCAGGGGTTGAACCCGAGTCACCGCCGTGGTGGTCAAGTACACTGTCAACTGAGCTATCGCTTTTCTCGGAAGTACTCTCTATGAAGAAGGAACAAATATCGTCGCGGCGGTTGTTTATGTATCAGTATCCAATAATGTGATTCAGTATTCAAAAATTACTACATACCATGAAGTTTCAAAAACTGAAAACAAACTCGCAAATTTTGCTTTCGCTCGGCTTCGCTAAACGCTCCGCCTCGCAAATACAAAATTCGCTACAAAGTGTCACTTTTGATCCTAATAAAACAATCTACTATTATTGAGAACCCGTTTTTTCATTAAGAATTTGATTTCTTGACTATGGGCATCTACAACAATTCAACTAACAGTAGCATCAAAAATGTTTTCAACTCCAAGTAAGTCAAGCACAAATTAGGTAATTCTTTCACTTCAACTTTTATTTTGTTTTTGTATTGTAGAACTTACATGTCCCTTATGATTATGTAACAACATCATTAAAATTGGTGAAGATGACTTCGAGCATTCCTTCCTTCCTTTGTTAATAAAGTATTTTTCTAAAAAAAGGTGTGGCATATCCCCGACCACGGCCTCCACAAGACTCTCACTGAACCCATCGTAGATCTGGTGTACCACCAGCGCAGGGTAGGGCTGGTGTTGTGGCACCCAACGGCACAGAATGTGCTACTCACCGCTGGGAGTGATAACCAAGTGGTCATCTGGAATGTCGGTGAGGAAATATTGTTTTTTATCTTCTTTTGAGATTGTGTTGAAATATTTTGAAAATTTGACATTCAATTAGGACTCCGTTAATAAAAGTGGGTGCGCCTCTGAAGTAACAATTTTTCATCTAGTTCGACCTGAAAAAAATATGGTTTGCCCCTGAAAATCTTTCGTACGGTGAGGTCTCCTTTTTTTTTCGAATGGGTTTCACAATTTCACCACCAGTGGGCGTCTAGACATCTGAATTCGCGACCCCCTGACTATTCCGTTTCTGTCACTTTAAGGTACTGGAGAGGCATTAGTAGAACTAGACTGCCACCCTGATATCGTGTACAGTGCCTGTTTCAATTGGGACGGCTCCAAACTGCTGACGACATGTAAAGACAAAAAAATTAGGATAATCAACCCCAGAACTGGCGAAATTGAAGCTGAAGCCATCGCTCATGAAGGTAAGGAGCTGTAGTAGAACCGATATCAGGTAGTTTTGAATGCTGAATTGAAACGCATTATCCACGTTTGAAACTGAAAATCCTGACTAGATCTCAAGAGAGTCAAGATGTCTATTTCCAGTTCAACAAAAATCATTTCTGTATATGTCACTATTTTACATTTTCATTCATTCAGTGGAAGGTCATACTTAGTTTTTGATAGCAATGTCGACCTTTTAGTTTCGCCTAATTTAGTGTTTGCTGGCTATCCTAAGAAACTTGTGGTCAGGTAACGTTGGGCGCCAAATCGCGACGAAATTATTTGATCTTAGGAGGTGTTCCATACTCTGTTGATAAAAATATGAATGCATCCTGTATTTTTTATTTATTCGTTATGATTGACTTTATCAGAAGACTTTGACAAAATTATAAGCTTGAAAACGTCAATCAGTAATTCCATTGAAATAATTTACTAGGGCAATGTTCCGAATTCAACTGTTGGCAGTTTCAGTTGTGCCACTGACACTACTGAAATTCTGTTCCGAAATAGTTCAGCGTTCGCAGTAATCAGTACTTTCAGTACTGACAGTTGAATTCCGAATATAGTATATATAAACAAATTGGTCCTTCGAGCCGGATCAATGTCGTAAAGAACAATAACTCGAGACCAAAGCTCTTCATTGGCAGGTTCAAAAGCGACCAGGGCCATCTTCCTGAGACATGGCCTCGTGTTCACCACTGGCTTCTCGAAAATGTCAGAAAGACAGTACAGTCTTCGCACGCCCGACTGCCTCGGCGAGCCCATCGTCATGGTGGAGCTGGACACCTCCAACGGCGTCATGTTCCCCCTCTACGATCCCGATACCAATCTAGTGTTCTTGTGCGGCAAAGGGGATTCTGTCATCAGGTGAGTGAGTGTTCATTTTGTTGCAGGGGGCTATTTGACGAAGCGTGCAGCTTGCCTTCCGTTTAAGGTTCGAAGTTGCTCCTTGCGGGCGAATTCCCGACCGAAATCGATTTCTCGCGTGGGTTGAATGAATTTCAGGATGCCAGAAAAGGTGTTCACGATAAGAGGGGGGCTTCAGAATATTGTCAGTGCTCGTGGAAACGTCGAGAAGATTAGAGCTGCAATCCCTGGGCATTCATTTCGGAAACAGGCAGGTGTTCTTGGCATCTATAGGTGTTCCATTCAATCAATTGTTGATGAATATCTACATTCACATCGCTATAAGATGGTTGTTAACCTAGAGTAGGGAGGTTTACTATACCATTCAGAATTTTGTTTCTTTGAAATTTATTTAAAAAAACATTGTATACCTATTTTTTATTCTTTCTATAGGCCCATATACGAAGAATCAGTTGTGGTTCTTTTACCATTCTGCTGACCTCATTAGTGAACTGCCATGTTCACACAGAGCTAGACGGTGTATCCACTTATATGTTTTTATTTGATTTTACCATTTAATAAAAATATATTTGGATCGTTATTTCCATGGAAAAAATATTGTTTCTTTTTCCAGGTATTTCGAGATAACACCAGAACCACCTTTTGTCCACTATATCAATACTTTTCAAACTCCCGATCCTCAAAGAGGGATTGGAATGATGCCAAAGAGAGGCTGTGACGTCACGTCCTGCGAAATTGCTAGGTTTTACAGGCTCAACAATTCAGGTCTTTGCCAAGTAAGTATACTATAGTCAAATTGCCTTTGTGTATTTCAGAGAATCGTCAATAACTTGGTCTGATTGAAAATTTCGATCTTCTGTTTTCCGATGTTTGTGGTTGTTGTTTTGTGTTTTTTTTTTTTTTATAAAAATCATGTCTTTAATTATTACAAGCTTTTATTTAGTTTCAATGGTCCAGGTGTCTCTCTGTCTGTGATATAATCTTGCAAGTTGAATATGACACACTTCTAATCGTTCGATTGATTTGAAATTTGGTAGGTGTTCGAGAGATGAGGTCCCAGTGTATCATAATATGACTGACTTTTGATCAGAAAAAAATTTCTCGAGTTCTGGCAGCATTGGGAATGTTGACCATAGTGTAATGGTTCCACTTAACACTCTGTGTAGTTTTGTTCTGCGGACTTTTTCAGAGTGTTCTAGTTCTCTTTGAAGCCAATGAAACATCACATCTGATATTCGAAAACCGCATAAAGATCAATTTTTCGAAAAATACAGGTCTTCAAAATAGAGTCAAATTATGAGTGGTCTTTTTAGTGTGTTGAGAACTGTATTTCGAAGAAAAAAAATAAGGAACATTTTTGAAAAATAAAGAAAAAAAAATACTTTTTTCAGTGTATAACGATGACGGTGCCGAGAAAATCCGAGCTCTTCCAAGAGGACCTCTACCCGGACACGATCGGCGACACGGCCGGCTGTTCGGCCGAAGAGTGGCTGGCAGGGCGCGACCCCGAGCCGGTCCTGATATCGCTCAAGGACGGCTACAAGCCGCCCGAGTCGAAGTCCTCGCTGTCGGTGTCGAAAAGGAGCAACGTGCTGGACAAGATGCCGCCCAAGGGGGGCAAGGGTGCGGCCAATCAGACCGCGGCGCCCGTGTCGGTGAGTTGCTGGTCTCTTCTTCTCTCATTTTTCCAATAAAGTGTAAAAGCTAATGATAAGTCAGGTATTTATTTGTTTTATTTACTGAAAATCTGAAAGGTTTCTCCCATGCAGTAATGAATTTGCGCCTTCGAAGTGCTAACCTGCTGTTAGGTTTGGATATTTTATATTTTCATTTCATCATCAAAATAATCTGAGACTTGCGAGTATATGAATAATGAAATTTCGAATTTTGTATAAAATCCCAGTAATTGGATTTAGCTTTTTTTTCAGGTGATCTATATATTTAGTCCACGATAATTGTTCAAGATGTTATCATTTTCAAGTCAATTTTTAATATCATCAACTGTATTATTACATTATTTAGAAAAATAGATTATTGTAGTATCATCTGCAAATAACTTGACATAATATAGAATTCCATGTCTGATTGTTGGATGTTTTGTGTCCAAAGAGCAAACAGCAGAGACAAACCATTGACAAAGTGAAATAAAATGCGGTCTGACCAATACCAATACCACTATTATTGACACTATTTATGAAGTCACTCTAGTTGGAAAAGAAAAATCGTGCAAATATTTTATATGTTGTGTTTTTATCAACGCTCTTTCATTATTTTCTACTTCTTTTTAGTTTATTGGCTATCAAGAAAGCATATGTTTCTTTATATTTTTAAAACAACTATTTAGTTATTAAATGTCTATGGTAAAAACCATTGTCTGGTAAATATGGAGAAAAAATGTAAAAACTGTTATATTATGATCACAATTCAATAAACACGAGCACAAAGGACGTGGACAAGGGTTACACTTGCTCCTAATTCGGCTGCCTGCCAACCACTGTATGAGCCAGTCTTCACACATGTAAGTCATAGGCTCGGATCCATGATGAAAATAGACTGGTGTAACCACTTGTCAATTGTTTTTTTCCAAAACGTGTAGACCGCGAAACACCGTAGCAAGGCCGCACCGGATTGACTGTAGATGGCGTAGGGAACATCGTGCCACATATACTTCACAGATATAATGAAAATTTCACGTCTTTTTCATTAAATCAATCACTTTTTCTCAATGTTTTCAAATTACGAATTAATATACGTAAATGTAAACAACAAAACAATACAACCATTGTGTAGCAAGATCACTTCGGGAACAGCGCCATCTAGCGTTAGTTTTGCGCGGCCTTACTACGGTGATAGAATTCGACATAATCAAGTAGGCCAGAGGTCTACAAAAATTTCTAGGGTTTTGTAAGAGGGAGCTATTTCACCATACATATATCCACCTTTCTCGGATCTAAGCACATTCCACTAAGCAGTAACGCATCTAATTGCTAGACGCTAACAAAAATTAATGATAAGTCAGATATTTATTCAATAATTTGTATTGACAGCAACATGACGTATGTTGGGCAAACATGTAAAATTATAGGCACAAGGTTTAAAGAGCATATTAATTTCATAAAATTGGGAAAATATCAAGAATTCTAGATTTTTTCACAAAAATCCAAGCTGCCGTGAGTTTTTTTGAAAAAAATTCCAAACATTTCCAATCCTCGTCTTGCAGGACAAGACTTTGCAAGAGTTCGCCGACGAGATCCGCAAGCTGAAGGCGATGATCGTGAAGCACGAGAATCGCATCAGGGCGCTGGAGGCGGATCGAACGGCCGCCCCCCCGTCTGTGCCCGCCCCCCTCGCCGTCCCCTCCACTGATGATGACGACGGCTGCGGCGGCGGCGACGGGCTCAACGCGCCGCCTCCCGTTGTCGCCGCCCCTGCGTTAGCAGCTGATGAGGTGTAGCCGGTCGAAGGGAGACGATGTCGTCCCGGATGCTCAAACTAATACGTTATTATGGTGAGTGGGCGGCGGTGTTTTGCTCAATTTTTAATCACAGAAAGGAAGGAATGCTTGAAGTCATCATGAGGGACATGTTTCGGTCTAATAAAAGACCATCTTCAGCCTAATTGAAAGGTTTGGAGTTGAAAATAGTATATTGTGCAACAAGTGGGGAAAGTTCACCTTTTCTCACGAGTGTGAAAGTTTGTGGCATGAGCCTGAAGGGCGAGTGATGCACTTCAATATTATGAATAACTTCTGGGTATTTTCAAATTTCATTCCATTTTCTATTTTTTTTTTTTTTTCAGGTGTCGCACCAGTTTGTTTCTGCAATCGCTTTTATACATAATCTACTGTAAGACCATCATCCTCTATTTATTTTTATCATTAGGAATATTGAATCGCATTTGTGGTTATATATCATTTATTATTATTATTTTCAAAAGTCATATTATAGTTCACCCCACCTTGAAAGTGCTCTTAAAATAACAATGCAAAGAAAATAGAGATGTTAGATATTGCAATAAGACTTCAAACGTAACAATAAATTATCAACAGTGTGTTTCGTCACTGTATTTAATTTCACCATTTATACAAGGTGTCACAAACAATTTTGGCATTTGTTACATGGATGATTTTATTGATCATATATATATGATGAAATTGAGGGAATGTGAAGAAATATTACTAGACATTTCAAAGAGATGAATACCTATGTTATTAAATATTATATAGTTTATTTTGATGGAATTTTTGAGAAGACAAAATAATCATAACTAGTTATTAGAAAGTTAAAAAATATGATTCTAATTTTTAGTAGGTCTTTTTATACTCTCTAGTTATTCATGAACAATTTTTCTGAAATGTGTGTGGAAACAACTATTTTGTTAATTATTAATATACTTCCCTCAGTTAGATAAGCCCTATTATGTATTTTTTATATTTCTCAAATTGATTCGGTTTTCTCAAAAATTTCGCGACTGTGTGTGTTGCTAAATTAACAACGAAAAACTGTGTATATAAATGTATAGTTATATTGGCATTTTTGTGAATTAACCAATAATAATAATGATTGTGTATTGTTACTATTTTTACAAATATAAAAACGAAAAACAGATTCTTATTTTTAAGTTATCCAAATGACTGTCCATACCCAATCCTGATGATACCTGCAGAACTGCAGATAAAATTTAGCGCAAAAATTCATGAAAAGTCACTAGAAATCGCTACTCAGCATATCAAGCTAAAAAAAGCCGTATCCCATGCAAACATTTTTGAAAATTCAGGGACTTTTCTGTGGTTTAGCGATAATTTCGATTATCCAAACAGCTGTATGATCAAAATATTCCAAAAAAGTATTCTTTTGTGGCCGTAACAAATCATGATAATCACTATAATTTGGAAGATCACTGAGGGATGAAATCCTCCAAACCTCTCTTCAATCTATTAACTGAATTTATAGGGTTTTGAAATCAGCTTATTCCATTCAATACTTCAAAAAGCGATATGAAGCGGGAGCCGTGATGTATTAGTCCTGACATCCTGAACTATGGGCATCTCTCTCTGATACCTTGCCATTCTGCAGTGTGATTGGTCAGTTCAAGGATAATAGGCGTGTTGGGACTAATACGTCACACCAATGAATATCACAAAATGGCGCAGTGAGTGTGTGTTTTGGAATGTACATATTTTTATTTATGTTTTTATCATCCTATTGTGAATGAAAAGAGTCAAAATTATATTTCCTGGTAGTTTTTTAATATAGAGCTCCCGACGATGTGCTTTCAAAAAAATCAGTTTTCCGAAGAGACTGGTGTAAGAAGTCCCCTATTCCAGATTATGCCCAAAACCTGTACGAGGAAATCGACAAACATCCAACTTGATGCCAAGCTAGAAGATTAATTTCTGAAATCGCCACGGGTAGCGCTACTACTCACGCCGAATTCATAAAAAATGCACGGTTGCCAGTAGTCGCGAAAACTCTCCGGCATATATTCATGCTCTTCCAGTATTTGATTTTGTATTATGGGTCCCCAAAAGTCCCTAATGCTTGTGCACAGTAAGCACAAGCGGAAGAGAAATTGAAAAAAACGCCATATAACTTGAAATATATCGAATATTATTAATTCATCTAATTGAGCGAATCCATCGGAACTAAACGCGACAATTGAAATGAATATATCGTTTTTCGTTGTGATTTGTAAATCGAAGAATCAAACCGAAAACTAAAACACGTCTTCAGACATCAACTTACCGAACTTACCACTTATCAGAGAAAATCCACGGTCGTTCTGAAAGTGAATATACCGCTTTTCCAGCATTCGTGTTCCGTATTTCAGGAACCTACTGAACATTTCATATTTTCGGAACGAAAAACTACTAACCGAAATAACCAAGTTGATTTAAGGACCATACCCTTAGTGACACAGTGTTTTACTGGCTATAGTCATATACTTTCGGTTTAAGAAGAAGAGAAGAAAAGTCGCCATCTTGACAAGTAATTGAAGTTTCTGAATTCTGAAGTTTCTCATCAAAATCCCTGTCAAATTCTGATATCCGAATCTTTTTTATTGAAAAAATGAATTTAATCTGATGTTGAAAATATCAAACTGTGATCCAAACAAGAATACAATATCTCGAAACCAATTCGTCTGTTGTTATAGATAATAATCAATTTCCAGAGGAGGAGAATAATAATGGTAAGCAAGCAAAAGTAGGCGTATTGTAGGTTATTTTTTCGATTTCTGATATCAAAATGAATGAACCACTTTATAATCAAACCAATATCTCTTTTGTTGTAGAGTTTTTTCGGATTTGGTCAGTCAGCTGAGATTGAAGTATATCTAGATGGACAAGAGAATCGAAAAACTGCTGAAGTCAAAACAGAGGACGGCAAAAAAGAAAGACTGTACTTGTACTATGATGGAGAAACAGTATCCGGAAAGGTACCAAATACCCATTCTAAGAAAGTAATAACCCAATTATAAACTTACCCTTTCAGGTGAATGTATGCCTGAAGAAACCTGGTAGCAAACTGGAGCACCAAGGAATAAAAATCGAATTCATTGGACAGATTGAGATGTTCTATGACAGAGGCAATCATCATGAGTTTATCTCTTTGGTGAAGGAACTGGCAAGACCTGGAGACATGATAGCTCATTCCAGCTACCCTTTTGAGTTCAGCTGTGTGGAAAAACCTTTTGAAGTATACACAGGTGCCAATGTTAGGTTGAGGTATTTCCTCAGGGTAACAGTCATCAGAAGATTGGCAGATATCATGAAAGAGGTGGATATTGCTGTGCACACTCTGTCTAGTTACCCTGAGATGAATAATTCTATAAAAATGGAAGTGGGAATTGAAGACTGTTTACATATTGAGTTTGAATATAATAAATCCAAGTAAGTGGAATAATTGTATATGTGTAGAAATTGTTAAATGAGGAAGATTTGATTTTTAGATATCACTTGAAAGATGTGATAGTTGGAAAGATATACTTTTTATTAGTTAGAATCAAGATAAAGCATATGGAGATTGCCATAATCAAAAGGGAAACAACTGGCTCAGGAGCTAGTACTTTCACAGAAAACACTACTATTGCTAAATATGAAATAATGGATGGTGCTCCAGTAAGAGGTAAAATATTCACTTTTAGTTGCACATAGACATGCATGAAGAATGAATAACAAAGTTTTAGTTGAATATTTAGTGAATTATATAGAGTTCTTGTATATTTTAGGTGAGAGTATTCCCATTAGAGTATTTTTGGCAGGTTATGAATTGACTCCCACAATGAGAGATATAAACAAGAAATTCTCTGTCAGATACTTCTTGAATTTAGTATTGATGGATACAGAGGATAGAAGATATTTCAAACAGCAGGAAATCACATTATGGCGCAAAGGTAAATCATATTTTTGAAGATTTCAATATCAAAAACAACCCAACTACATCAAGGAATTGAGAGTTTAGATGAGTATGCATTCTAGAAAAGAGAGAATTGTGACTTATTATGCTCAACATTATTTATTTTATTTATTTATTTCAATTATTGCATTACATTCTCTTCTTCATTGATACATTTCATACAAATAATATAAAAAGTATAATTAATTTTTTAGTAGGAATGACATAAAATCTATATTGGCAACTTTTTGTGTATAGGCTCAGGAAGGTAAATTTTTGTTTTTTTAGGTTTATCATGTTTTTATTACATTTTCTATTGATAAAATCTGAATGCCCATATGAAAGATTTCAATTTTGAGGCCAATAACTGAGATAGCTATTGATTGAAATATGAACAATCACCCTTATTTATTTATTTATTTATTGAACAAATAACTTCCAAAAAACTTCGCGATTGAAATTTTCTGATATCATCTGAGGTCCTTAGATTAGTTTACTTCCGATCATGGCCACCTAGATGTAATTTCAAAAGTGACTCCGAAAAAATTAAGCAGACATAAAAACTTCCGAAAATGTCACAATCTGATCTAGAATTGTCTCAGAAATCCAAAAATGTTACAATTTACAGGGTGTTCCATTTGAAAATTTAGAACCGGAGCCATTTCCAGTGAAACCGGAAGTGTCCGGGAAGTGAAAAATATGTGAAAACTGTCCTCTTCACATATTATTAATCAATAATAATTTTTTAATGATAATTGATTGTAACATTTTCCTTTTTCCTATATGAATATTATTTTTAATCACGTTCACTCTCAAATAAAAGCAAAAAACGAGAAAATATTTCAAATAATGCGAGCGCTTCCCATTAGCGAACATAAGATAGAGAGAGATAGGTATTTATCGGTAAACACTGTGGGTTGCCTGAAAAATATTTTTTTCTCCGATTGGCAGCAAATATTAATTTTGCTGACACAGATCAATCAGCAAAGTGATCACTTTGCTGATTGATATGTATCAGCAAAATTAATAATCCATAAATCGTTTATAATTTCCTTCATATTTCATTCGAGACTTCTCCGGCAACAAATTCAACTCTATATTTTTTGCCACCTCCCTTATTTCTGGAGGTGTAAGTACTTCCAGGTCGCTATCACTGTCCATTATATAATAATTTGAATATACCCATATTTTTTCGCACAACTGTCAGAATTTTCATGAATTGTCAAACTATAATTATCATGGACAACTGCGATTTTTATCAAATTTCATTTTAATTGAACACTACAGGAAAAATAAAGAGATTGTGGGAATTGTGATAACTTGCAATTACAATATCCTCCTATATCATTATGAACAATCGGAGAAAAAATTATATGTTCAACTCGGCAGCAAAGTAGATTGACTGCCTTAGCTGGATTCCTAGCCTCGCTACGCTCGGCTATGAATTCAGCCTCGGCAGTCAATCTACTACTTTGCTGCCTAGTTGAACAAATAACTATTGCCTCACTCGTCGTTCACAGAGGGTCCCTTCCAGTTCTTTATATTCAGTTCATTGCTTCCACTTGCCCCTTCAATTGTCTTCTCATGAACATCGAGAAAACTTCCCAATTCTTCTTCTCGCTTCTCAGGCGACAAATTGCGGAAACCTAACCTCCAAGCCCCCGCCATAATGGCGGGCACCCAGAATCTCCAGAACACGGCGCAGCAGTACCAACAAACCGACGACAAAGAAGACAAAGACGAGGACAAGGAGGGGGAGGAGGAGGAGGTGCAGCAGCCTGTCAAGGAGGACTTTTTGCGGGTGCAGGGCTCCCAGTCGACCGACAAGCTGGACCAATCCGGGGATCCGTTCGAGCAGCGGGAGGAGTCTCCCAAGGAGAGTCCAGAGAATCAGATTCATAATATGACGAGAGAGGCGGGCGATGGTCAAAACGATAATGGAAATGATAGTCTAGAGTGATGCAGATAGGGTGAGGCGGCATTTTTGCAAATATGAGTCGGGCCTTTTTGAAAAAATTATGCTTCTTTTAACAAGCGTTTCTTTTGTTTTTCAGGAAGCATTGAACAATGTTTCGGCAATCTCTATTTCAGATCCCTCGGGAAAAGGGTACTCTAAAATGGGTTATTCCTTAGAGGAAAAATAGGAAATAGTAAGATTAAATGGGGAAGTTTCCTATATTGTGGTTTTCATCTCACTGTGGAATTTGTAAAAAAATAATGTATATGTATTTTTATTTGTAAGATCAAATTTCACTTCAGAAAAAAATAAATAAAAAAGGAACTTGGCTCCTGCACCATTCCTATGACTTACTTTCTGAGAATCCACATTCACACAGAGTTAAAACACGATTCCCTGTGCCAGTACGACGTTGCCGCCATCATCAATAGGTCTAGATTTCCGGAAATTGTTCTTTGAATGCATTATAACTACAGTGTGTCCCATTTACCATGCTCACCATGGGCATCTTTTTAACGGTGAGAGATACGAGGTCGGTTAAATGACACCAAATGTGGAGTTTGTCAAGGCCAACTATAATGTGAAAAAATATTTTGATGAAATCTATTCGTTTTCGTTTTATGCGCAAAAAAACAGATTTTGATCATTTTCATGTCTCCTCCGTAACTTCTTTATTTATGAAAATATTCAAATAGGAATTTCATATTCTCATGGCAGTTTTTCAAAGTGATTTCGAAAAAAATATGAAATTTATACCAACTCTTCTAGAATTTGAGATATCAGCACCAACTTTAGTTTTTCAAATGTAGGTCATAGCTCACTATGACTTAGTTGCAAATAACTTTTTTTTCTCTTTCAGATGATGTGTCGCAGTAATAGTTTTGTGTTGATAACAACGGAGTTATCGTCATTTATACAAAAATAAAAAATTATTTGGAAGCCGCCATCTTGAATTTATAAATTTCAACAAAAAAATCATGATCTCCGACCTCAAAAACCCCCACTTACCAATTTTGAATGGAATCGGACCAAATCTTGTCCGCCATCTTGGAGCAGCCATTTTTTTTAATTTCAACAAAAATTCCATAATGTATTGTCCTCAAAATTATGAACACCTGCCAAATTCCAAGTTAATCGGAGTTATGGAATTTTTGTTGAAATTAAAAAACAATGGCTGCTCCAAGATGGCGGACAAGATTTGGTCCGATTCCATTCAAAATGGGTAAGTGGGGGTTTTTGAGGTCGGAGATCAAGATTTTTTTGTTAAAATTTATAAAGTCAAGATGGCGGCTTCCAAATGATTTTTTGTTTTTGTATAAATGACGGTAACTCCGTTGTTATCAACACAAAACTATTACTGCGACACATCATCTGAAAGAGAAAAAAAAGTTATTTGTAACTAAGTCATAGTAAGCTATGACCTACATTTGAAAAACTAAAGTTGGTGCTGATATCTCAAATTCTAGAAGAGTTGGTATGAATTTCATATTTTTTTCGAATTCACTTTGAAAAAATGCCATGAGAATGTGAAATTCCTATTTGAATATTTTCATAAATAAAGAAGTTACAGAGGAGACATGAAAATGATCAAAATCTGTTTTTTGCGTATAAAACAAAAACGAATAGATTTTATCAAAATATTTTTTCACATTTAAGTTGGCCTTGACAAACTCCACATTTGGTGTCATTTACCCGACCTCGTATCTCTCACCGTTAAAAAGATACCCATGGTGAGAATGGTAAGTGGGACACACTGTATATCAGCAATGGGGTTCTTCAATCCTACTTTGTCAAGTATTATGAATAATTCCCATAAATCTCTCATTGTTTGAATGACGTTGATTACTAATAAAGATAATTTATAATATTTTGCGATGGTATCAATGATTTCTCATTGTCGTTATATTACAATATGTTATTCATAACTTGTCAGTAATTTTTTTGCTAATGAATTCGTTCCTCAATAAAACGGATCAATTTTCTAGGAAAGTTGCAGAATATATCTTGCAACAGCGCCTAATACTTCGAGTCCGTTCACACCACTCAAAATACTGACAGGCACAACAAGAGGAAGGAGCCATGGGTGTCGGCTTCATTCTGTTCTGACCGATGACAGTAAATTAGGAAGGATAGTATCATTGAATGTAGCCGATAGTGATTGATTGATTCAATGATATTTTCGTTTAGGATCGAGCTCTATTCAAGATATTTCAATGCATAAATAACAAAACCATAATCTGTCAGAATGAAGCCAACTACCCTCTGCATTCCTGCTCCGAGTGCATTTGTGGTTATGCATGTTTTTGTGCACCAGTTTTACTTCTTTTTCATTTTTTTTATTCGTTTTTCATTCGTTAGCTATTCGTTAGCCATTCGTTAGCTTCATTCTTCGCCATCAGCTAGTTTCAGACTAGATTCAGAATGTACGTCACAGTTTGCCGCCCCGAAAATTGGAAATTGCTTTAATTTTAAAATGAAAACGACTTGGACTTAATCGGTCGCCATTCTGTACAACATGGACATGAAACTGGAGAGTTCCGAACTTATTTCATGAAAATTCATCTGAAGAAAACTTCCCCATCCAGGTACTATTGAATCATGCATTTTGATTGCACAGATGACTAAAACGTCAATGTCAATAATGTCATCCGTGGTCAAGTCACTGAATAGCAAAATATCTTAAGGGTATCTTCCATGCAGTAATAAATTTGCGCCTTCGTAGTGCCCACCTGATGTTTGGTTAGATATTTATTATCATCATTTTATAATCTAAATAATTCGAGACTTACCATTACCAGTCCCAAAAGACGTATTCTAATAATCAATATCTGACGTACAGGATGTATAGAGTTACATGTCTGATTATTGGATATTTTGTGTCGAATAATCATATCTGCCAAAATAATAGTAGATTGTTTAATTAGTATCAAAAGTGATACTTTGTTTGACTACGTAATAATGGCCGAATACGCGCAACATATCTTACTTCCATCATTCTTGCTTCGTTTTCTAGATACAGGGTATTAATATTTCCATGAAAAATCTTTTTTCTATTCATTTCTCAATTGTCTCTTCATCAATTTCAATAAATCGTTGTGGTTTTGTTAATAGTAATATGGAGCTTCTGCGAGTGCAATTAGATTCGAAATTTTCTATAAACGGACTTACGCCTAAAAAATCCCAAATCAGATTGAAAAAATATTGAGCTTGCTTTTGAAGTCGCAATTTTTTTTTTTTTGAAGTTATGGAAAAATTTCAGTCAAATCAATGTCCCCCACAAAATTACGGATTTTCCTTGTATTCTGCCACAACGGAGAAATCTTCCGTGGAGAGTTTATGCTGATCCATCTTGTATTTATATATTTTTTTGAAATTTCAGTTTGATGGCTCGAATTGTGATGAAACAAGAAAACGGAATAAATAGAGAAGAATATTGAAGGGCGAGAATGTTGAAAGTATAGCACGGATTTTGTAAATAATGTAATTGTTATATTATTGCAGTTTGTATTGAACTGTCATTCTGTATATTGAGCAAATTTATTGATTTACACACTATTATCATTTTATTGTATATTTAATATTTCTCATATATAGCTGAAATAAAATGTTTGAAAAAATTGTGCTTCCTTCCATGTTTCCCACAATTGACTAGCATAACATTTTTTGGAACACCCTGTATACAAGTTTCAAGTATTTTCTGGAATAAACCAAGAATCAGAAATGAATCCTGAAATATTTTGAATCAACTCACCTATATCTTTATTCCTATAGTATGAGCCAGTAGCAAAATGGGATATTTTGCATTAGAAAATATTGTTATTTATATTTGACTAAATAATACAGGGTGTCCGCCGTCCGGTAAACCATATAGATCATACTCTAGTTGGCGATAAACAGGTTCAAAACCTATCAGAAAACCACAACTTGACCTCAGTATAGAAACCTCATGGTTTTCGAGGTATTAGAACTTTCATGAAAAAAAAATGGATTCCTATTTTAATGTTCCAAGCAAATGAGTGTATCATATTAATTATTCTTATTAAACAAAAAATTAAAAATGTAACATATAGTTATGAAATTGTATTCAAAAAGAAACCAAGAATGAACATTATCAAACATGTTGAAGAATTGGCATGAAAAAGACATCTTTGAGAGTATATTTCAGCTGAAAGAATAGAACAGAAGAAACTAGAAATCATTCCAGAAATAATACTCATATTTTGATTAATAGAGACGTGGAGACAACATCCCAAAAATCAAGAGAAATCGATGTAGGTATTTAGTTTTTTTGCCATAAAAATATTGGTGTTAAAATATCTATAATGAGACTTTTTTTGCATCCTTAGAAAACAGGACCGGACCGAGAACACAAGTAGAAAAAAGTGTTTATTTTAAGACGCAGAACCAAAACAGTCATCCGATAAAAAAAAGAGTCATAGTGGTTCGAAAAATTCTGAAAACTGTTACAACTACCTATAAAGTTATTTCGACGTCAGTCTAGTAATAAAAAATAACTTTATGAAAGACTAATTATATTATAGTTAGGAGAACATCTTTCCAGAAATTTGTTTAGTTGCAATGGTAACGATACAAAATACAGATTTTCGACCAACTAAAGGACGAAAATCTTAGGTGTGAAATTTTCGAAAGAAATGAATCATTATATTTTAATCAAGTTGAACGATGATTAAAAAGGTTACATTTTGTGATAATTTATTTTATTGTTACTTACACATGAAATAGGTCGAAATAAACAAGATGGCGAGGACCATGCAGTTTTATCAGAATAATACCGAACGATATATTGGCTAGAATGATGCTGCTATTGGTTGAAACAACGGAAACGTCACATATTGGCTTGTGAAAAAAAAATCTGGTAAATTTTCTACAAAATTTCAACTCGTGTCATATTCCTTAAGAATTCACCTACACTTTGATGAAGGGATTAATCAAATTGGACTTGAATTGACGAAGTTATTGATCTTCGAACTTCATAAATTAATATGTTGAGAAGATCGATTATTTTGACCGACGGTGATTGTATATACAATCCGCCCCTGCAGAGAATAAGCAATCCATATCTTCTTCATTATAATTGGCATTATCTGCCTTTTTTTCTAGCATTAATTATATCAACTGCATGTGCTTCATTTCCACTAGTATTTTGTTTGCAGCCTCAACCAATTTGACTATTACTGCGAGTTTATTAGTATAAGTAGGTACCGTCTTATTAATTATGTCAACAGGAAATTGTTTATTTTTTTATCAAAAACTGTCTGCTCCTGTGGAAGTTCTAGACATTTTTGTTTAGTCTCATTTTGGTCATTTATTTATACAGGGTGTCCCTGAAAGGTCTGTAGGTATAATCGAAGTGATACCATGCATAGACTCCTGATTGTATATAGGAACACTGAAAGGAATATTATGCATAAAAACATGCGATTTCATGTTGATTGACACACAGGATGTTACTTATTTGGAGTAATACTGTTGATCGAAAAATTTATTGAACTTTTTTCTGAGTACGCCACTGAACAGATCTCAATATTGTATTCTTTTTCCTCATTTATTACCTAACTTCCAGCCCTCCTGAAAGTTCGTGATATTTCGTTTGCAAGTTAATACAGGGTGTTTCATGATATACAGCGCAGGATCTCTGGAACCGTACATCGAAGAGATATAACACCTTTATTTGTGAGCATTTTCTACTCATACTATTTTTAGTGCAAAATTTTTTTAAAAGTCATGATTGGTGAACACTTTGAAGGGGTGTGGTGAGTGTTATCCTCCCTAAGTTTTACGCCATTGGAAAAATACAGTTTCGAGCCACCCACTTTTGACCAGTCAATGTTTTCAACTCAAAAAAGTTACTCTGCTGCTTGAGCATAAAAAAATGACAGTTGTTGTCAACTCACTTTCCGCGCGGACCAGGGTTATTGCCATTTCGATTTTTATTCCATCAGTAAATACCTTGTCAAAAATTCAGTAGATTTCAATAGACCTGTTTAAGATCGATTTTATGCTATACGAATTCCAAAACATCATGTACTTCTAGAGTAAACAGAAAAGTAACCTATTTCCAACAAAATAGACACAAATAAAACAAACATTCTTATACAAAAATAATTAAATTCCTAATTCTCAATTCAGAATTACTCACAATAGTGAAAATGAACAACAATAATACAAAACAAATAAAAAAATTAAACTTCAGAAACAAACTGTTATAACAGAGGTACCATATAAAAAATAGAATTTGATATTAATCAGATGAAGTATTCCCTTTTTTGATTTATACATATCATTATAGTACCTATATGTACATTTATTACCTATTTTGTAAAATTAATTTAAACAGAGCGAGCCAAAGTATCATGCAATTTATGAGTGTAGGTATGTGATTAACTAAAGATTAATAATATTATAACGAAAAATGAGTGTCAAAACATTTTTCAGTATGCAAATTATCAGGAGATCTACTGAAAATTCAGTAGAATTGGCAACCCTGAAGTGGACGAAAAGTGTTTGCGGACGAAAAGTTAGTGTCTGCATGCGGACGAAAAGTACTTGCCTTCGGAAATAGTCGGTGTTTCGTTCGAACATTTAATGCGTAAAATGTGATTTTTTGTAGAAGTCTACTAAACAATTTTTATCAACAAAAAACAAGAGTACTGTCTGCATTATTCACATGATTTTTGAGTAATATATATAAAATTTCGATTTCAAGGCACCTATACCAATCATTGTTAAAATTAAAATCTACGCTACGACGTATTATTTTATTTTGAGTTGAGTAAAACATGAGTTAAACAAAACTAATTTGAAATACATTAATCAGAGTTATTATCACCTCAGGATATAAAGTCTAATTGCCAACATTTTAACTGCGAACTAGGAAATCAAGTAATGAATAGTTATTGATAATCAAAGTAGGAAATCTATTTTGCATCCAATTGGGAATTATATTTCTGAGTGATTCTGAAGCAACAATGGGGAAAAATAAAAACCTACGCCGCTGATATATAAAGGTCGATTAAAAATTAATGAGAATAATTCATGATTTCCACCGAACCAAGTTTCGAAAAAATTACATAAATGAAGTTGATATCATGCAAAAAAGTGTTTGTAACATTTCTCGTTCCCGATGATATAAATTTCGGATCAGAAATGAAAATTTGTAAGTGTTGATGTAACAAGTGGCTATTGTGGATGTAGCGGAAAAAAGTGTTACTTTTTGAGGAAACAATAATTATACTGGGTAGCACAAACAGGTCTGTACAATACTCAACCATACGAGCTGCTATGAATAGGACAAATTTTAACTGAAAACTCACCACTACAATGAAAGTTTCCGATCAACTGGTTCGAAAATATGTTTACTTCCTAAGGATCTGTCAATATACAGGGTGTTCCTGAAAAGTCTGCTCAAAACGCTCACACAAAGGCTGAAATAAGATCTAGCCCAATTCACCTCAGTCCGAAAGTTAAAAGTTTCCGTCATTCAGGGTTTTGAACGTGTTATTTTATGTTTTTATCCTTTGAGTGCACGATAGCAAATCCCTATTATGTTCGTTAAACATCGTGATACCTAGGGAGGATATAAGGGGTGAAGGTACGCATTTTATTTTTATTGGAGCTCTCGGGAATACTTCCTTTGGCAAACGAGTTTTGGTACAGAGTGGAAGTATCTATAGAAAAGTGAAAGGTCGCCGACTTTCCTACACGGTTTTCCAATGATGTAGTGGAATAAGTGAGTGTGGCAGCACCAACCAGGTGAATTACTCTCCTTCCTGTATGAAATTCGACAGCATCAGTGCATGTTTCTACTGCTAATAAACCCCATATGTGGAAATAGTATTCTGAAACACACCGTGTCTGTGCTTTGTGGATAATTTTTTTTATGTTCTGGTTCCCACGAAAAGAGATATCCTGTAATGTTCAGAGAACATCGTGAGAACCGAGATAAATAAGGTAGGAATTGGTGTTCTTCTCGAATTTCTGGAGGTTATATGCCTCGGGGAACACCTCCCTTGGCAATGTGTTCCAGAGCCTCGCTGTTCGTTGGATGAACGAGTCTTTGGAAAGAGATGTTTTGCAGGTCTCCGAAGTGACTGGGACTGTCAAGGGAGGAACAATTGTTGATATTTCAGAAGAGCATCGTTCATGAAAATATCTATAAAATCGAGCCAGATCGCCAATTTTTCTACGGTGTTCCAGAGAAATGAGTGAGTTTGTGAGCGAGGCATCACCCACGAGACGAATTGCCCTTTCTTGGACAGATTCCAACAGTTTCAGGGTATGTTTGGGTGCTGCACTCCAAATATGGGAACAGTATTCCAGGACAGGTCGGATCTGTGCCTTATAAATCATCATAAGCAGCTGACTGGAAGTAAAATAGCTCCTGGCCCGAAACAGAAAACCAAGTTTTTGGGATGCTCTTCTAGCAATTGATCTCACGTGATTTTCCCCAGAGAGGTTATTGCTCTTAGTAATACCAAGCATCGAAATGGATGTCTCCAAAGGTATGGTCACTCCTGACAAGCTTATGTTGGGCACAGTGAGATCAGCTTTTCTAGAGAAAAGATTATGATGTTTAAAGTAGATCTTCGCACGGAATAATAAAAATCCCATGAAAGAGTAATATTTATGGAAATACCGAGCATAGATACGGTGAATTTTGTGCAAATGGTGGTGCCAGATATTGTTATACCAGACATAGAGAAAATACAGGCTTGAATTTTGGTGGCGGAACCAAACTAGGTTATTGGTCATCCAGGATATTATTTAAGCAATATCTTCATTGACAGGGTTGATCTGCCTTAGTTGCTTAGTTTCCTGGAAAGCAATGGGAATTCTCTCGGGAATCCTAGAAAAGTACGCATTATGGAGAGTACTATATTGCCTGCAAAGCTGTGGATAGGGAAAAGTCGTTGCTCCAAACAGATACAAACCGATCATTGATATGAAGTAGGAACACTGTTCGTGCCAAAATAGATTCTTGTGGAATGCCGGAATTGTGGCACCATCACATGAACGATCTGATGCCTGAAAGAAAACTGGATAGAAGATGGCATATATATAGCTGAGGAGTCCTTGGTTGCAAAGACGGTCAAATGCTTTCAATATGTCTAACGCTACAGCACAGCATCTAATGAAGCTTGAATATCAAGTCAAGTCATTCATAGTCATGTTTTGTCGAGGAAAAGTATACTTTAAACTAACTAACTGTATGCAGAAACCAACTTCCTCATACAGTTTAGCCTTAGACTTTCATACAGACGTTTCAAAGAAACCCTGTATATATACGTACAGCAATTTCTCATTCATTTTTATGGGCATGTATTTTCAATCATTCTCAATTAAACGGTCAATTGGTGTGAGATCCAGGCAACGCGGAGCCCAACTCGGATTTTTATCGTTTTTTGTACCTACTAATAGACATTATAATACTAAAATATAGATAGATACCTACATGTAGATTGTTGGTCCTTTAGCTCATGTGTGTGTTTTGTGTAGGCTTTGTTACTTATATTGACTGCATAAGGCACCTTTGGCCCTATTGAGGGAGATTGATGGGATTTACAAAGATCTGTTTCAACACTTCCATAGGAATTTAGTTTGATTCAGAGAATGGTCGATTGGTGTGAGATCTGGAGAACGTGGAGGCGGGATATCTATGCATACAAACTTGAGCACCATTCACACATTCCGCAGTCGAATACGAGTATAAATTTATTCAACATTCAACCTGGATTTTGGACAAACCGTATCAATGAAAAGTGTTGAAATCGCATAATTCATAGACAATAACCCTGTACAATATCGAATGTATCGACAAGTTTAATAATATTCTGCAATTTCATTCTCATCGCATATCATTTACTAAGAATGAATTCAAACAATAAAATTAACGTAACCTTTAACTTTGCTTTTATATGCTTTTATGTACGTAAGAGAGTGGAACAGTCAAGGACTAGACGATCAGAGATTTTAGGGAAGTTTGACTATTATAGTGTCCAAATTTTTTATTCGAAATTAATCTTGTGAGTGTAAACGTTTCTACTCCGGTAGAGAGACGTGAGTACATTGACTATAGATTTACGCACTTTTTTTGTATACAGGGTACCCAGAAACATCGGTCTCGCAAAATACTTAATTCATCATCAGTGTATTCTGTGATAATGTGATTTTTTTTCCATAATCAAAGTGGTGTTTTTAAATTTTTTCATTGATTGGATGTTTTTCTAGAGGGTATCTGAAACAGGGTGTGCTAATAAGAATATTCTGCAGTATTTCACAAGTACCGACGACCAAAAATAAAACCTTTTCTACAAACGTCGATTGTGTTCACTGACAAATATATATGAAATTACTTGCATGAGGTACCAGAAGTGAAAAAGTTGATTTTCTGAAATTTCAAAATTTTCATCAATTTATCAAGTAACTCAACATCTTTTCCAAAAAACAAAAAAGTAAACAAGTTTTCTTGAAAATGTTTATTGATAATAAATGTATATATAGGTACCTCTAAGAATGCAAAGTAAGACAGCATACTGTAAGTAGTTGTGAAAATCCATCGAAGTGATTTTTTCCCAAATATAGTGAACATTTGAATATTTCCTCCACTCAAAATGAACATAGTTCGTGTTGAAGAATATTTCAAAAATATTGGGAAGCTAGAATCGATACACACCGCATGAAACACTTTCACATAAGAATTAATTAGTATTCCTGAAAAAAATATGCCTAACCATTGTTATCCAATATTCATTCAATTGAAAACAAGTCGATGGAAAGTAATTGTATATTTTGTGTGGAATATTGATAAGCAAAGATTGTAGATCGTAGATTGTAGATGGGTCGTATAGGCTGGGAGAGCTCTCGATCACTGCGACCTAGAAGGTCTATATTGTGATTACCCCTATCTAGTTTTGGTCCTCTAACCCTAGACTTCTGATGAAGCCTACGGTTGAATTTTCCACTTCAGCAGGGGTCAGATAGACCTGTTCTAGGTGGTTCAGCGGACTAATACTTCACATGAGTAAAGTATATGTTCCGCGGTTTCGGTCGCATTGTTACAAAAGCGGCAAGTGTCAGTCTCCGCCAGGCCCATCTTTCTGAGGTGATACCTCAGAGGGCCGTGTCCTGTGAGAAAGCCTGTGATAAGCTTTAGCTCTGGTTTGCTGAGGCTGAGTAGGTCTTTGGCTCGGTTCTGCGAATGGTTGATGAACCTTTCCGCTTGTCGTTGACCTGGAGTTGCTCTCCAGTAGGAGAACTTTTCAATTCCTTCCCATTTCCTGAGTTCTCCCTTTAGGTGACATTTGCTTATCCCACAAAACGGCTGAGGACCAAAAAGTGCAGATGCTGCACCTTTTTTTTGCAAGGCGATCAGCTGCCTCATTTCCTTTGATTCCTGCATGCCCTGGAACCCACATAAGTGTGACTTTGTTGTAATTTCCCAGTTGCATGAGTGTTTCAATGCAGTCCCATGTAATCTTTGTTGTGAAAACGAATGATTTTAGGGCTTTTAGTGCGGCTTGGCTGTCTGAGCAGATATATATGTTGGCACCCCTCGAACCTTTGCTCACGCACCTATGGGCGCAAAGGTTGATGGCATGTATTTCAGCTTGGAAGATAGTGGGGGAGTGACCTAAGGCTTCAAATAGCCTACATCCGGGTCCATATACATCCGCGCCTACCCCTTCTTCCATTTTCGAACCATCGGTGTACCAAACAAGGGACCCTCTGTCCAGCTGAGGCTCAGCGGAACCGTACCAAGGGCGGGTTTATATAACCACTTCAATTGAATTGATTAGCAAAACAATTCCAATAACTTTTCTTTTGTCGAATATATTTTTCAGTCTAGAAATCCAACGATTCCAGCTGTACCACCATTATTTCTTTTCGTTGCATATATTTTTCTTCAAATTGTGTAGAAATACCGAATCAACAACAAAAATTCCATCTTCCAAAGTTTCATCTATACGTAGCATATATCAATTATTGGAAAGTATAGAACAATCCATCCTATTTCCATATTTATTGGGAGACCTTTTGACCCATCATGACGCTATTTCAGCACGTTTTTTCATTCAAAGACCAATTCAATAACGATTTCATTACAAAAGAACAAAATCTCAACACAAAATCCATTAGAAAGTGAATACTTTTTTGTGATTTAGTATAATAAAAGATAATGAAATGGAAAGTAGGGGAAGACATGGTGAATTAACATCTGCATGTTCTAATTTGTATACAATGCCTTATTCACCTCAAGATTTTTTTATATCGATTATCAATTTTTATTTTTCTACAAATTTCTTCCTGTTATTCTTCCATGGAGTTGTTACAACAATAATAATTTTTGTAAACAATGACTGACAATATTCCAGCAAACATCAACCATATAGAGTATGATTATATTCCAGTTTCATATGAGAAATCTAATTTTGAAGGCGGCGGAATAGCAGTAGTTTAGGTGCTCGACTCATAATCAGGTTGGTAAATTCGGATCCCCGGAAGAGCAGATACTTTTTAGATGATTCCGCACGATTCGCTGTTGCGTTCCAATTAACAGTGCTGCTCCTAAGATGGCGCATGGAGTTAGTAACAAAACCTTCACAGAACACTAATGAGCTGACTGACCTCTCGTGAGATCGATGGCCAGTTGGTATGTATGTACATACAGTGCTTTTCTTCAATGCCCCCCCCCCTTGTAATTTTTTGAACGGGTCAACTGAAAAAATTGTAACTTGTGGTCATGAAATTGGTGCATGAATACTATATTTTTGAGTAGAATAAACAGCTGAAAATTTCAAGATGGCGGCTAGGCGCCATCTGGGATAAAAAAATTGAACGAAAACGGGGGTCTTGTGATACATCATTTTGGAGCTCCTGACGAATAATTCGCAGCCCTAGAATATGAAGTCAATATCTTCATCTGCTGACGCTCTTTGATTTCATTCAGAGACGAGCCATTCGCTTGGTGGGTGATGCCACACTCACTAATTTCCTGACATCATTGGAATGCAGTATGAATGTCGACGACCTTTCACTTTTTATAAATACTTCCACGGGAAATGTTCTCTAGAAATCTCCAAGTTCCAATCTCCCTATTCTCCTTAGGTATGCACGATGTTGTTATGATATAATAGGGATTCCGTTTCGTGTTCTCGAAAAAATAGATGGAAAATTTCAGGTACCAGCCATGACGACCAAAGATGACATCGTTATTTCCGGGATATCTGGTCGTTTTCCGGAATGTGACAACGTTGAAAAATTCCAAAAAGCCCTGCTAGATGGAGTGGACCTAGTGAAAGTCAGTAATGAACGTTATCCCGCAGGTATGTTCATAAACAATTCCTTAACGCCGAGCTGCGCCTAATTGGTTCAGGAACGCATGACTACCTGCAGACCGGTTTCGAGCTGTTGGCTCTCATCAGTTTAAGGCTGTCCCAGATAGCATTCTTGACCTCTATCATCAGTGCGGGGTGCAGCTCGGCGTTACGGAAGGAAAATCAGTTCTCGTTCACCAAAGTAGCATTTCGCGTACTAGATACAAAAATAACTATATACAGGGTTGGGCAAAAATATGGAACCAGGTGAATATCTCGGTAACCGTTTGTTAGATTATTCTTTTTTTTTTGTCAATTGCATTTCCTCGTTGGACCCAGCACTGGATCCAATGCATACATTTACAAACATCCATGGCCTAACTGGGATTCGAACCCATGCCTCGGTGGGAGTCCCCATACGAACTCAGCGCCTTTGCGCTCTCGACCACCGGGCCGCCTTTGAATATATGTACAGGGTGATTTCAAAACGTGGTGGATTTGAAAATGTTATCGTCGATGTTGCCACTTTTTCAGTTATTCTGGAATTATTATCAACTTCCTTATTTCAAATAGAACACCCTGTGTTTATTGAATTTACAGATTCTTCCTGAGAAGATGATTTCATCGATTCATTACACTTGAGGTCTAGCAAGAATGGTTACTGAGATATAGGGTGTTATCAAAATCGAGATTTTTCAACTTTAGGACTTTTTTGTGTCGAAACTATTCATAATCGATCAAAACCGCTCCAATGTTCCTATCTTCACTTTTGATTTACTATCTACCGACAGTTAATTGAAACAAATACAGGGTGGTTCAAGATTCAGAAATCTGATCACCCTGTATCTGTTCCCATTAAATACCAATAGATAGTAGATCAAAAGTTAAGATGGGCACGTGAAAGCCGCTTTGACCGATAATGAATAGTTTCGACAAAAAAAAATCCTAAAGTTGAAAAATCTCGATTTTGAACACCCTATATCTCGATTATCATCCTTGCTAGACCCCAAGTGTGAAGAATCGATGAAATCAGTTCTTCAGGGAGATTATGGAAATTCAATAAAATACAGGGTGTTCCATTTAAAATAAGGAAGTTGATAATAATTCCGGAATAACTAAAAAAGTGGCAACATCGACGATAACATCTTCAAATCCACCACGTTTTGAAATCACCCTGTACATATATTCAAAAAAATCTAATGATCGCTTACCGAGATACTCACCTGGTTCCATACTTTTGCCCAACCCTGTATAGTGGACTGCTCGATGTGTTTATTTTTTTTTCATGATGATCGAGATACTTTTACAATCATTTTAGGGTTGTATGGGACGCCTGAAAGACAAGGAAACATTCCTGAAATAGACAAGTTCGACGCTTCATTTTTTAGGATCCATCCTAAACAAGCCAGCTATATGGATCCCCGCCAAAGGATACTTTTAGAGACTGTGTATGAGTGTATTATAGATGCTGGTTATAATCCAGTTGAATTAAGAGGGTCCAAAACAGGTAGGGATACTCTAATCACCCCTTTGATCAGCCTTTATCACAGTATTCATTCTATTATTATGTGAAATTCATTTTGATTATTCCTGGCAATACATTTCAGTAGATATTTCAAGTATTTCGTCAGTAGAGAAAACACCGCAAAATAGTGTCTTAAACAGTGTTTGCTTCACTTTGTTAGTTTACCATTTGATTTATTCAATAGAGTCGGTAGTGTGAAATCTTCACAAACGATAATATTTTCACAAAATTCTCAAACACATGACATGTTTCGCTAACACAGTAGCTTCATCAGGTGATATACTGGCACAATGAACAACTAGCTAACCTTGTGGAGGTTCAATGTCTCGAAATCTCGTACTTTTAACATCTCTGAGATGTTTTTGTGCTCGCTGGGTTCGAACTCAGTGAACAAATTCTAGACCGTTCCCTTAGCTCCCGACTCTTCTAGGCGTCTACGTCGGTCTGGCATCGTTCTCCTCGGTAGAGGCCCTCAGAAAAGAGCCCACCAACGGCTACACCAACCTAGGCCTCAGTCTGGCGTTAGCCTCCAACCGGATATCCTACTGCTTCGACTTCAAAGGCCCCAGCTACTCCATAGACACGGCCTGCTCCAGCAGCATGTTCGCCTTCACGAATGCTGTCAAAGACATTGAGGCAGGAGAGACGGAAATGGCGGTGGTTTGCGGCGCTCACATCGTCATGCATCCTCACGAGACTCTGGAGTTCCATAACCTCAATATGTTAGCAGCAGACGGCAAATGCAAGGTCTTCAGCACCGAGAGAGACGGGTATGTTGTGTCTTCAGACTAAATAACAATAGCATCGCCATAGTTTTTTATATTGCTGCCCTGATTCATTAATAACTCATTGAAAAGTATATACATGGCAACATTCCGTTATGCTAAACACGGATAAATTAATAGAATTTGAATGGTGGGGATAGCGTGGAATCATATAGTCCTGCATCATCACGAAACTCTGGAATTCGATAATTTCAATATGCTGGCTGGATACGGTAAGTGCAAAGTCTTCAGCACCGAGAGAGACGGGTATGTTAATATGTAACAGGAACACAAAGAGCTCCAAGGTTAGATCGACACGACGATTCATTCATGAATCATTCAAAAGTATACGCGAACAATCCTAGATGCCAAACAGGGATAACTGAATACAATCCCGAATGGTGGGGATAACGCGGAATCATTGTACCCTCAGAAAACTCTGGAGTTCGATAAACTCAATTTGCTGGTGGCAGACGGTAAATGCGAAGTCTTTAGCACCAGAAGAGACGGGTTTCTTGTGCTGTCAGACTGAATAACAATAGCTTGGAAGCAAACTCTTAGTCATCTCCACAGTTCTTCCTGTTGCTGAACAACAATTCTACTAGACTTTGAGCGAGGACTATTTCCGTATAGATAGACAACACGATTCATTCATAAGTCATTGAAAAGTATACGTCAACAATCCTAAATACCAAACACGGATAACCGAATGAAATCACGAATGGTGGGGATAACGCGGAATCATTGTCCTACATCCTCATAAAACTCTAGAGTTCGATAATCTCAATATGCTGGTGGCAGACGGCAAATGCAAAGTCTTCAGCACCGAGAGAGACGAGTATCTTGTGCTCTCGGATTGAATAATAATAGCTGGAACACAAACTCTTAGTCATCTCCACGGTTTTTCCTATTGCTGAACAATAATTCTACTCCACTTTGAGCGAGGACTATTTCCATTTAGATAGACGACACCACGATTCATTCATAAATCATTGAAAAGTATACGCCAACAATCCTAAATGCCAAACACGGATAACTGAATGGAATCGCGAGTGGTGGGGATAACGCGGAATCATTTTCCTACATCCTCACAAAACTCTGGAATTTGTTAATCTCATTATTATGATGGCGGCAAAAAAAAGTAAACGCCAACAAACCTAGATCCCACACACGGACGCGAATGGTGTTTTTTTCTTTTGCTGAACAACCCCACATATAGATAAACAGCACGATTCATTCATGAATAATTGAAAAGTATACGCGAACAATCCTAAATGCCAGAAACGAGAGATTATTGATTATATATTGATTATTATGCATGCACACGAAGTTACTCGGAATGTGAAGTCTTTTTCACAGAAGAAATAAGCTGAATAAATCACACATTTTAACTAAATAGTTACACTGAGGCAGTGCCCACAATTATCGCACTAGCACTCACTTCCAGCATCTAAATATTCACCACTATTCCAGGTATGTACGATCAGAAGCAATCGTGAGCTACTTGCTTCAGAAAGAAAGCAAGAGCAGAAGAATCTACGCCACTGTGCTCGGAGCCAAAACCAATTCTGACGGCTACAAGGACGAAGGAATAACAGTACCATCTTGCGACGATCAACTCAGGCTGATGCAGGAGATTTACCAAGAACGCGGCGTGAATCCAGATGATGTAACTTACGTTGAAGCCCATGGGACAGGTGTGTAAAAGGTCTCAACTTGTTCAAACTTGCAACCTCATCTCATTTTCTTTCCTCAGGTACTCCTCTAGGAGATGTGAACGAATGCAGCGCTATAGCTCAAATGTTTTGTAGCAACAGGAAGGAACAATTGCCCATCGGAGCTGTCAAATCAAACATGGGGCACTCGGAGATGGCGTCGGGTTTGTGTTCTTTGACGAAAGCCATCGTAGCCATGGAAACCGGGATCATTGCTGCCAACTTGATGACAGGAGAAATCGACAAGGAAATACCTGGAATCAAAGAGAATAAACTCAAGGTTTGGACCAAAATAACTTAAGAAGTATCTTCTGTGCATGTAATTGCGTTATCGATATCCTCGAACATATATAATGTCTTGCGACTACTAACCTCACAAATTCTAGGTGATAACAGAAAACACCCCATTCAAAAGTGGTGTAATAGCTGTGAATTCCTTTGGCTTCGGGGGGTGCCAATGCGCATGTTATTGTCAAACCGCACACCAAAGAAAAAGCGGTCTACAACAAGCCCAAACATCGCTTGGTTCAAGTATCCGGTAGGACTCCCGAGTCTGTCACTCACTTTTTGAACGAACTCAACATCAAATCTGACGACGAGGAACTGTTGGCTCTAGTAGACGAAATTCACAGAGTGCCCGTTGAAGGGCACAATTTCAGAGGGTGAGTACGTGAAAGCAAATATTCATTATTATTATTGTTATTTTTTATGAAGATATGCAGTGTTGGGTGATACCCCTCAACAAGAAGTGGCAAAGTACGCGAAAGACAGGCCAATCTTCTTCATCTACACCGGTATGGGCTGCCAATGGCCTGGCATGGCGAAAGACCTGATGAGGTTCCCAGCGTTCCGAAACACCTTGCAGCGTTGCGCAGCCGCTTTAGCCCCACACGGAGTGGACTTGATGGATATCGTCACCAACACTTCGCCGAAGACCTTCGACAGCATCACCAATTGTTTCTGCGGCATCGGGGCCATGGAGATTGCGCTGACCGACCTGCTAACATCACTCGGTATAGTGCCGGATGGTATCGCTGGACATTCTCTCGGAGAAGTAGGTGGGTCACTCGATTGTAACTTTAGTTGATTGAAATATGGAAATAATAGTTAGTAGTGTAACTAAGCCGGTTGTGGTCCAAGATAAATTGGGCGATTGATGTCAGTGATCAGAAGGCTAGCATCGGAAATCGTGGAAAAACGTGGTTAACCATGGATAGATTTGAAATATCGTGTACAAGTATAAAAACTAGTGGAGAAACTTAGTATAGCCGTTCATAGACAAATCTGTGCAATAGCGTGAAGAAATTGAAGAACTCCACTAAAACCATTGTGAAGAATAAAAAAAAAACAGGAAAAGCAAGGGCAAACGTGAAAATCACGCACCCGTAACACTCCCAGAGGCTGATGACATTCTATCTGAAATCAGCCGCCACCTTGCGCTAGAACCAGCTCTGATGGAAATAGATATCCTGTAATGTTCAGAGAACAACGTGAGAACCAAGGGAAATAAGGTAGGAATTGGTGTTCTTCTCAACTTTCTGGAGGTTATATGCCTCGGGGAACACCTCCCTTGGCAATTTGTTCCAGAGCCTCGCTGTTCGTTGGATGAACGAGTCTCTGGAAAGAGATATTCCGCAGGTCTCCAAAGTGACCAGGAAGGGGTGCGAAGCCTCAACTCGACAGGTTAATCTCGCGGGGACTGCCAAGGGAGGAACAATTGTTGATATTTCAGAAGATCTATAAAATTTAGCCAGATCGCCAAATTTTCTACGGTGTTCCAGAGAAGTGAGTGAGTTTGTGAGCGAGGCATCACCAACGAGACAAATTGTCCTTTTTTGGACAGAATTCAACAGTTTCAGGTTATGTTCGGGTGCTGCACTCCAAATATGGGAACAGTATTCCAGGACAGGTCGGATCTGTGCCTTATAGATCATAAGCAGCTGACAGCATCGAAATGGATGTCTTCAAAGGTATGGTTACTCCTGACAAGCTTATGTTGGACACAGTGAGATCGGCTTTTCTAGAAAAAAGGCATGCTTGTGTTCTGTTTGCATTGAAATCAACCAAGTTATTGGATCCCCATTCGAGAATAATTGATGCCAACTCCATATTTATGTTGTCAACATTTCTCCCTCCTTTGTTTCTGATTTGCCTGGCTGGTATTGGAGCCCTGGAAGAGAAGGCGGTATGGAAAGCTGTTTACTGGACATGAAGTTGCTTCCAACAAATCGTTGATATGGAGTAAAAATAGTGTTGGTGCTAGTGAAAACTCATCAATCTCTATGGTGTAAAATCATAGGAAAAGAGTGACATTATTACTTGGGAAAACATAGACGGGAAGTCGAAAATCGTAGAAAAGTAATAAAACACGAAGCTCCTTCAATGGTCGACGGCATACCATCAGATATTCGCCACTAGCCACCATCTTGTTTTAGAACCGGCATTGGTATACTACTGTACTCGAAATGCTTCATCTCACGAACCAGATAGTTGTCATAACAAATTTCTACTATATCACGTTTATGAAGAATGTTCATAGCATTGAGGAAGTATAAAGTCGTTTAAAAAAATGTTCGAAGACTACAATTAATTTTTTATTTCAACAGCTCATATAGTGTATTTGTTTCAACTCTTATTCCCATTAAAGTAAACTCTTTGCATGAAACATAGGGCCTTGAAATAATAATGAAAATTCACCCCTGTCTTCCTTCTTTTTTTCCCATACAGGTTGCGCCTACGCAGACGGTCAAATAACAGTAGAACAGGCAGCCCTGCTAGCCTACGCTAGAGGCTACGCCTCCCAAAACTCCCAAATACCCAAAGGCCAAATGGCCGCCGTGGGCCTCACCAAAGAGGAGCTCCAGAGCCAGCTGCCTGAAGAAGTATTCATAGCCTGTCAAAACAGCAAAACCAGCTTCACAATCTCCGGCTTGGAAGAACCCACGAAGGCCTTTGTGGCTAAGTTAACGTCCAAAGGAGTGTTCGCGAGGCTAGTGCCCTCGGCTGGCATAGCCTTCCACACCAAGCACGTTGCCGAGGCTGGGGAGCTGCTGTTGGAGTTCTGCAAAAAGGTATTGACGGATCCAAAACCAAGATCTTCTAAGTGGGTGTCCAGCTCAGTGCCTTCAAACAAGAAGGACCTGCCTTGGACCAAGATGAACTGCGCTGAGTACCACCACAACAACTTCTGCAGTACTGTGCTGTTCGACCAAGTGTACCAGCACATACCCGAGAATGCTATAGTGGTGGAAGTGGCTCCACACGGTCTGCTCCAAGCCATCCTCAAAAGGGAGTTGGGCAAAGAATGTACGAGCATCAGCTTAGCGAACCGTTTGAATGAAGATAACGAGCAGTTTTTTTTAGCTGCTGTCGGAAAGTAAGTTTGGCAACACTTCGGGATTCCCGAGGAACGATTGTCGGCTGATACGAGATATGCTGTTTCGGCTTGCCATGTCCCATCAGTTGCACTCGATCAACTGACAATCGATGCACAAACGGTCTATTAATGTATTATTGGGTCATTCATTGTACGAATACAACTGGAATAAGTTCAATTGTATGGTACAATACATGATCCAGAGGTATTCATGAACAGAAACCTAATAGAATATTCGTACACAGTATTATTTCTGCAGGATTTTCAATGCTGGTGGTGCACCGAAGCTAAGGAGCCTATACGACAAGGTATCATTTCCAGTCAGTCGGAAAACTGCTATGTTAGCCCCTATGGTCAAGTGGGACCACGGTATAAGTTGGTTCACCCCCTTGTGGAAGAACGAAGATGGCTTTGGACGGGAAGTGACTGTCAATTTGTCCAATGAGAAATATTCCTTGTTGTCCGGTCATAACATCGATGGCAGAGTCCTTATGCCCGCTGTAGGGTATTTGGTAAGTGTACAAAGTCGAAATAACATCCAGTACTTATATGTAGATGGAGAATGGTGGGGTAATCAATACATTGCGAACATGAGAAGCGGTATGAGCAGTTGATACCCGTCTACCCTTTCTATCTTTCTATGAACAGATGAGTGTAAACTGCGCCTACTGCTATGGTTTGTATAGTCTACTCCTGATTCACCCACTTTGTTGGTACCTATTGTGATTTCATTAGGAACTTATCTGGGAGACAGTGGCAGAACTACAACTGAAGAAAATGGAGGAACTACCGATAATTTTCGAGAACGTCAAGTTCAAACGTGCTACGGTACTAGCACACGGAGAAGACGTCAAATTCCTAGTCAACATAATGAAACAAACCGGCAACTTCGAGATCTTCGAAGGTGGTTCCGTGGTACTGACCGGTACCTTGAGGTGTCCCAAAGACGTCTCCACCCAGTTCTCTTACAACGAAGTAGATGTCAGCCCCCAAAACAACTACCCTTTAATGAAACTCGACGATGTGTATAAAGAGTGCAATTTGAGAAGGTATTTGTACAAAGATAAGTTCAGGGGTTTGGTGGAGTGTGACATCCACGGCCACCAGGGGAAGCTAGAGTGGAAAGGAAGTTTTACCAGTTTCCTGGATACCATGCTGCATCTGACCATAGTCAAAGAAACATCCAGGGATACCATGCTTCCGGTGTCCATGGGTCAGGTGATTATAGATCCAGTGAAGCATTTGGAGCTAGTAGGATCGCAACCAGGTAAATATTGTGACCTCCTTTGGGGTTAACATATTCCTCTCTAGATCTAGCGATTTTTTTCCAGAGGTCCCAGTGATATTCGACCAAGACCTGAACGTGCTCAGATCAGGTGGAATTGAGATAAATCGTGCAGAATCCCACAGAGCACCACGTCGCCACCATACTCATGATCAACCCCACTTAGAAACCTTCGAGTTTATAAGCTACGAGTCTCAACACGAACAGGACTTTGACACTTGTTTGAGGACGGCTCTCCAAATCGTCATCCAGAACAAGCTAGGCTTGAAGAAGGAGATCAGGATATGCGAGCTCCTCGATACCACCAAGAAAGAAACCGTATTGACGGAGAAGATCAAAGAAATTATAAACTTCCAACCGATGACTAACGCGCAATACTCGACAAGTGAACCAGGGGCAATCACAGGCAACTATGACGTTATTGTAGTCAACGAAAACACAGCCAACTGTGAGAGTCTAGCTACTAACTTGACCAGCGAAGGTTTCTTTCTTTACACAGGAAAAACTACCCTAGGGAACGCTTCTTTACAGATAATCTTCCAAGGACTGTCTTCTGAAGACAATGTCTACCTGTTGAGGCCTTACTATGAGTTCCCTGAGAACTACGCTGTAGTCAACATCAGAAACTCAGACTTCGAGTGGGTGGACAAACTAAAGAAGCTGGCCAAAAGCGAGGAACCCAAAGTGGTGTACCTGTTCGCTCAAGGCGATCAAATCAACGGCATAATAGGTCTGGTGAAGTGTCTTCTGACAGAACCCAGCATAGTGACCTACAGATCGGTGTTTATCGATCAGCAGACCGACATTTTTTCGATAGACGACGAGTTCTATGCGGACCAGCTCAGGAAGAATTTGACGTTCAACGTGCTGAGGAACAGGAGCTGGGGGACTTTTGTACATCTGCCTCTGACACCAGTGCCCAATAGGGACGTGGAGAATGCTTCCATCACTGTCTTGACACCTGGGGATCTGTCCTCGCTCAGATGGATAGAGAGACCTCTACAAGAGAAGTAAGTGAAGAAAAAGTCGTTTGAAGAACTAAAGAAACACGCTTTTATAAGAAGTCAAACTGAGGAGAACTAGAAAATGGAATATTAAGAGTGTGATTTTTTATGTTGTGTATTTAACAACACACTTTTATTATTTTATTTTTTACTCCTTTTTAGTTTGGCTATTCATGAAAGCGTGTTTCTTTAGTGTTTTTAGTTCGGCTAACTACAACAGCGTGTTCCTCATGTCTTCTTTATTCTTCTGTAACTATTCAAGTTTGACGACAGAATCATTATATCCGACTCAGAAAATACCCTAGAGACAAGTTTTGAATATAATAATTAATCGGATCATAACTACAAAACTTGAATTTTCTAATTTTGACGAATAAATCATAATATCTCAACCTGAGAACCCCCAGATACCAATTATCTAGAGTAGAATCGGATCATAACTACAAATCTCGTCTGCCATCTTAAATTTGCTCATTTTGACGAAATAATCATAATCCTTGACCCCGAAAACTGTCAGATACCAATTTTGAATTCAATCACGGATTATATCTTCGAAAATCATCCGCCATATTTGATCCGTCATCTTGAATTTCCAAATTTTGACAAAATAATCATAATCTCTTCAATCCCAAAAACCGCTAGATACCAATTTTTAACACAATCTGATCATAATTACCAAACTCGCAGATACCAATTCAGAATGGAATCGGATCACGATAATTACGAAACTCGTTCACCATATTCGATCCTCCATCTTGAATTTCCAATTTTGGTGAAAGAAACATATTATCCGACCCCGAAAGCTCCCAGACACCAACTTTCAATGAAATCGGATCATAATTACGAAACTCGTCCGCCATATTGGATCCTAATTTCGACGAAATAATTATAATCTCCGACCCCGAAAACAGTGGGTCAAAATTACGTTCGAAGATTCTGTTACAATCAAACAAAGCAACAAACAAACATAAACATACCAAGCTAATATAAGCGTGTTATAGTGTGAAAAATAGTGCCCCTTTTCCATTCTCAACCACCATTTTGGTTGATTTCTAGGTCCCACGAGGACTCTGAATTGGTACACGTCTTCTACTCGGCCTTGAACTTCAAGGACGTCATGATAGCTTCGGGCAAGCTCCAATCCAACGCCACCTTCACCCCCACCGCTCCGGAAGTGACGATCGGACTCGAGTACGCAGGCGTGACGTCATCGGGTGCCAGAGTGATGGGTCTGATTGGCTACGACGGTTTAAGTCTGCAGGTCCGCTCCGATCCGGGCTTCTCCTGGAAGATACCAGACAGCTGGAGCCTGCGCGACGCTGCTACCGTTCCATGCGTGTACGCCACCGTAAGCAAAATACTCTTTTTCGATTGAGCGTGCGAGAAATTGCATTTTACGCACTTGGGCGGAGAATAGCGTTTTCAGCACTAGGGTAGGAAATTCTATTTTCTGTATTAGGGTGGAAAAGAGCATTTTTTGCATCAGGTCGATAAATTGCGTTTCTCGCACAACGGTAGCATTCTCCTCACTCTGAGAATAGTTTTTATCGCATGTAATAGTAATAATATTGTTTAACGAGCACGGAATGATAGTGATTTCCTACGAGAATGAAGTTTGCAGCATGAGCCATAGGCAAATGCTGCAATCATTCGAGTAGGAAATTAGCATTCCGTGCAAGTTATACACTATAATTTTTCTACGGCTATAATAGATAACAGCGGCAAGATTTCTTCGTCTTGTAGCCATATGATTGACAGAGCTGTCATTGCATGAAATCTGACATTATATGGGCGATTAGTTTTTTTTAAAATAATAACACAAATCATTGTGATATCAGATACGGAAATGAAATTTATGACATACAAAGTACCTCATTGATGTATCGAACACAGTAAAACAAGAGCAATCTTGTGTTATAACCGTAGAAAAAATAATTTTTCACACTATTGACATCGTTTTTCGGTAATATTGTGACAGTGGTTTTTGAACTGTACTAGACCTGAAATAAGCATTGACTTTTATGTTTCTAACAAATATACCATATCGAGTCTGAACTACTGTATCTTCGTTCTCAGAATGAAGTCTCTGTTCATTAAAACGGAAACCCCCTGTATTTTCAGTGTTACTATGCTATGTTGATACGAGGTCAAATGCTACCTGGGGAATCCATCCTGATACATGCCGGCACGGGTGGTATAGGCATGGCAGCCATTTCCATAGCACTCAGTATGGGCTGCAAAGTGTTCACCACTGTCGGAAACCAGGAGAAGAGGGAGTTCATCAAGAGATTGTTTCCGGAATTGGAAGACAAAAATATCGGTGAGTCTGAGTATTTGGAACAAATTTCAGACTTCTAAACTGAATTTGTTTGAAGGCAACTCCAGGAACAGATCCTTTGAGAAGATGATAATGTCGAACACAAGAGGGAAAGGCGTAGACCTGGTACTCAACTCCTTATCGGCAGATCTCTTCCAGGCGTCCTTGAGGTGCATCGGAAGACAAGGACGCTTCTTGGAAATCGGCAAAGTCGATTTCTTCAACGGCACGCCCATAGACTCGCACATGTTCCTCAAGAACTGCAGCTTCCACGGTGTCCTACTGGACGATCTCTTCGACTGTCACTCTGCCATCAAACGAAGCGTACAACGTTATCTAACAGAAGGTAACCCTAGTAGCACACATAATCTTCATCTCCAATTCAACTGTCCTCGAACGATGACGCTGGGCATAAACGTGTTAAAACCTTCGATTTTTTGCAGGCATGAATTCAGGCGTCGTCAAACCCTTACCAAGCACAGTTTTCGACGAAACCGAAGTGGAAACTGCCTTCAGGTTCCTCTCCTCTGGCAAACACAAGGGCAAAGTCCTCGTGCAGCTCAGAAAAGAAGACCCAGATACTCTAAAATCCCCCACGAGAACAATAGAAGCTATTCCCAAGGTATACTTTGACCCCAACAAGTCCTACGTTATCATAGGAGGCCTGGGAGGTATCGGCTTGGAGCTGACCGATTGGCTGATCAAAAGAGGAGCCACCAAGATCCTCCTCAACTCCAAGAGGACTGTGTCGACCGGTCACCAAGCGTACTGCCTGCGAAAATGGTCCCAACACAAGCAGGTAACCGTCAAGGTCAATACGGAGGATACCACACAGCTGGAAGGGGCTACCAGACTCGTCTGCGAGGCTAAGAAGCTGGGACCAGTCGGAGGTAAGTCGCTGGCAGAGCAGCCAGACAGCTCAAGCTATAGCTCTAACTAGAGTTCCTTAATGTTCTCGACACTGCTGCTTTGAAATACAGGGTATTTCATTTGAAATAACAAAGTCGTTCCAGTGTTTTTTCGTAATCCGGTTCTGGCAACCTACAGAGCCTTTGTTTCGTTTTGAAATGGCCACTCTGTATGTATACCTACATACTACATACCAACTTGCCATCGGCCTCCTTTGGGGTCCTTCATCCTCATCATTCCAGAGCCTTTTTTAACCGAAAAACATTCTTTTCCTTGTCTGTCAAAATAATATATGATTCACTTGAAATTCTAACAAAAACGTCAAAATAGCCAGTGTCAAGTACATTTACGAACTCTGACAAAAACGTCAAAACAGCAAGTGTCGAGTACATTTAGGATCTCTAACGAAAATGTCAAATAGCCAGTGTCAAGTACATTTAGGAACTCCAACAAAAACGCCAAAACAGCCATTGTCAAGTACATTTAGGAACTATAATAAAAATGTCAAATATCCAGTGCCAAGTACATTAAGGAACTCTGAAGAAACCATCGACCAGCCAGTGTCAAGTAAATTTAGGAACCCTATCAAAAACGTCAAAACAGCCAGTGTCAAGTACATTTAGGAACTCTAACAAATACGTCAAAACAGCCAGTGTCAACTACATTTAGGAACTCTAACAAAAAAGTCAAACAGCTAGGGTCAAATACATTAAGGAACTCTAGCTCAAACCTTCCAGGCGTGTTCAACATGGCCCTGGCGCTGCGAGACGCCCTGATGACGAACCAGACGCAGGATAGCTTCGAGGAAGCCTTCAAGCCGAAGCTGAGATCCGGCCGGAACCTGGACCTCGCCACCAGGCAGCTGTGCAAGCAGCTGGACCACTTCGTCGTGTTCTCCTCGATTGCCGCCGGCAGAGGGAACATCGGACAGTCGAACTACGCCATGGCCAACTCGGCTTTGGAGAGGCTGTGCGAGCAAAGGAGAGGGGAGGGGCTTCCTGCGGTTGCTGTGCAGTACGGGCCGGTAGGGGAAGTAGGGGTGCTGGCCAGGGTGATGCAAAACGTCGAGGACATAATCGAGGTGAGGAATATATCCAGTTCTCAACACACTAAATGGACCACTCATAATTTGACTCTATTTTGAAGACCTGTATTTCTTTAAAAAAATGACCGATTTTCATGTGGTTTTCGATATCAGATGCTAGAACACTCTGAAAAAGTCCGCAGAACAAAACTCACACAGGGTGTAAAGTGGAACCGTTACACTATGGTCTACATTTCCAATGCTGCCAGAACTCGAGAAATTTTTTTCTGATCAAAAACCAGTCATATAATGATACACTGGGACCTCATCTCGTGATTTCTCCCTAATTGGCCATTGGAACAAAAATTCGATTTTTTTTTCGAAAGTCTTGCATTTCTTGAATTTTTTTTTTCTAGAACTCCACTTGAGCTGACTATTGGAAAGAACTGTTCTCATGCTTTGTGGAGGACAATGAAAGACGAAAAAAGCACTATTGTGGAATATACAGGATGATAAGAAAATAGGACAAAATCTCATTTCAATAAAAAAATCAAAAATGGTGACTAAAACCTTGGCCCATTCGATACAGTATATTCAGAAACGGCCTTCTCGATATCCATTAGACTATTAGACTATTAAATCGAGAAATTCGCCTCTAATTGAAATACAGGACGACAATTTTCAATTCATACTTGTTTCCTGATTTCTTTATCGATGATTCTTATCAACTGATTTACAATATTTATTGCCCAAGTATGAGACACAGAGTATTGTTGTTCAATATACTGAGTGTTTCACAACTTATCTGACAAATTTCAACCACAACTACAATATTACATAAGGAGTCGATCACATAATGATTTTATAGAAGTAAAACGAGATGGAAAATGAAATTTATAACACTATTGGCGAAATATGACATTAGTGAATTCTTCAGCATTATGAAGATCCAATAACTTAAAAGTTCTATATCCTAAATTTCAGTACTTAGTAGTGCCTTCACGATTTAACAAAACCTCATGAAATCGATTTGGCATAGGTTCTATGAGGTTGTTGATGAAGACTATTGATATTGCCTCCCATTCTTCTGATATAGGTTGGATAAGGTTGTCATTATTTTGGGGTACCTCTCGCCTTCTCGATAGTTTAAGTTTTATTCGGCTCCACACATGTTCAATCAAATTCAGATCTGGAGATAATGCTGGTCACCACATTCTTCTAACATAATTGTTTTCTAGAGTTCTTAATTTGTCAGATAAGTTGTGAAACACTCAGTATATTGAATAACAATACTCTGTGTCTCATACTTGGGCAATACGTATTGGAAAAATCAGTAGTTGATAAGAATCATCGATATCAGGAAACAAGTTTGAATTGAAAATTTCCATCCTGTGTTTCAATTAGAGGCGAAATTTCGAAAACGTCTCGAGTTAATAGTCTAATATAAATAATGGATATCAAGAAGGCCGTTTCTGAATATACTGAATCGAAAGGGCCATGGTTTTAGTCTCCATTTTTGATTTTTTTTTTTACTGAAATGAGATTTTGTCCTATTTTTTTATCATCCTGTGTATTCCACAATATTGCTTTCCGTCTTCCATTGTCCTCCACAAAACATGAGAATCGTTCCTTCCAATAGTCAGCTCAAGTGGAGTTCTAGAGAAAAATTTCAAGAAATGCAAGACTTTTGTAAAAAAAAATCGAATTTTTGTTCCAATGGCCAATTAGAAGGAAATCACGAAAATGTCCCGAGATGAGGTCCCAGTGTATCATAATATGACTGATTTTTGATCAGAAAAAAATTTCTCGACTTCTGGCATCATTGGAAATGTAGACCATAGTGTAATGGTTCCACTTTACACCCTGTGTAAGTTTTGTTCTGTGGACTTTTTCAGAGTGTTCTAGCTCTATTTGAAGCCGATGAAACATCACATCTGAAATCGAAAACCGCATGAAGATCGGTCAATTTTTTTAAGAAATACAGGTCTTCGAAATAGAGTCAAATTATGAGTGATCCATTTAGTGTGTTGAGAACTGTAGATTTCGCCATCAAAATTCAAAATAACTGCTTTTGGGTGTATGATAAATTGACATTCATCATACAGGGCGTGGAAATTAATTCTGAATTGAGACTCTATCACGAATCTGCGATTAGAGGTCTATAAAAATCACAAGTTTCCATCGTTCAAGTTTGAACCCCCTGATTGGGTATAAAAGTGTTGAAAAGGAATATTCTCAGATGAATTATGAACATACAAAAAAGGATATATATTTATATAAAGCAATACATTGAGAATTCGCATTCTCTATGTGATGAGAATATTTACTCTTTTTCAGGTAATTCAATAGAAAACAACTACTTTCCTGGCTATATGCCACGACGAACATTGAATTATATCTATTGAACACACACGATAAGAGTTTGAAAATAAAATATAAGAATTTCTGAAATTGAGAATTTGCATTCTCCTTCAGACAAAAAAATGTATATACACACATCATTCTGAATATTCAACAGAAAACAACTACTTTCCTGGCTATTTGCCACGTCCCACGTCGAACATTGAATTATATCTGATGAACATTCAAAAGGGAACATGAAAAATAAAGAATAAAATCCTCCGAAATTGAGAATGTCAACAAATTTCTCAGATGTCATTTCGTTATAGTTTTACTCGATTTTAGTTGTATTATATAGAGATGAAAATTGTGTATATCATGAAGAATGGCTGTAAGAATAAGTGGACATCATGGTTACTGATGAGGATTCAGAGAATCGAAATGGTTTCATTGCAATAAAGTCATATAACCTGTGTGTGTGAGATGATATTTTCCATATCACTGATATGAATGATTATTTTTGGAAGTTTTCAAGCTCATCAAGATCAGACAGAGTTCATGCCAGTATACTTCTCCTATACATTCCAATTTTCATTTCAATGCTGAATATATTGGTAAGTCATATTTCTATATCATTATTCATGATATTATTCAACCGATTTGAAGAAGAATGTCAATTCTCAATTTCGGAGGATTTTATTCTTTATTTTTCATGTTCCCTTTTGAATGTTCATCAGATATAATTCAATGTTCGACGTGGCAAATAGCCAGGAAAGTAGTTGTTTTCTGTTGAATATTCAGAATGATGTGTGTATATACATTTTTTTGTCTGAAGGAGAATGCAAATTCTCAATTTCAGAAATTCTTATATTTTATTTTCAAACTCTTATCGTGTGTGTTCAATAGATATAATTCAATGTTCGTCGTGGCATATAGCCAGGAAAGTAGTTGTTTTCTATTGAATTACCTGAAAAAGAGTAAATATTCTCATCACATAGAGAATGCGAATTCTCAATGTATTGCTTTATATAAATATATATCCTTTTTTGTATGTTCATAATTCATCTGAGAATATTCCTTTTCAACACTTCAAAATAACTATTCAACGTCGAGAAATTCATGTTTTGTTTTCAACAGTCTTATGAAATGGCGCCCCAAAGTACAACTTCGTGTTTTCAAGCAATGGAAACGATGATGCTGAAGGAACAAGCAGTAGGTTCCAGCTCGGTATTATCCTTCAAGGAAGCTGAAGGTGCTAACAGCAGCACCAGGAGTGCTGCTGATGCTGTCGCCCATATTCTAGGAGTCAATAATATAGGTATACAATTTTTCCTCGACCTTAGCTCCATAAGTTGTTAACTTTGTAACCATCGTTTCAGAACTAGTGGATAAAACGCTTACCCTCCTCCAGCTAGGACTAGACTCCCTGATGGTAGCAGAAATAAAACAAACCCTGTACAGACACTACCAACTCGACTACAGCCCCGATCAGATTCGAGACCTCACCTTCGACAAACTGATAGCCTTAAGCGAAGACCCAACAGCCCCAGAAGAAGCACCCACAACCAATAGCCCCATCCCAAGCGAAAATACGTCCCTGACATACCTGCTGCCAAAAGAGCTTGTAATCAAAATCAACGGCAGGAACGGCTACAAGCGCAACATCTTCATGTTCCATCCCATCGAAGGCAACGTCGACATTTCGAAGCCCTTGGCAGAGCAGCTGAAGGCGACCGTTTATGGCCTCCAAGCCACCCGGACCTGCGACTTCGAGACCATCTCGGAAACGGCGAGGTTCTATCTGCAGGAGGTAATAGAAATAGACATAGAATTTCTTTTCATGTTCTGGTTCACACGAAAAGGGATATCCTGTAATGTTCAGAGAACGTCGTGAGAACCAAGGGAAATAAGGTAGGAAATGGTGTTCTTCTCAAATTTCTGGAGGTTATATGCTTCGGGGAACACCTCCCTTGGCAATGTGTTCCAGGGCCTCACTGTTCGTTGGATGAACGAGTCTTTGGGAAAGAGATGTTCTGCAGAATGCCAAGCGGCTTTTCGTGAGGGCCGTGGATGTATTGATAATGTTCATATCCTTACCTCTGCCGTACATTTTCATATCAGACACAGGAGGCGCAAGATATTTACTATATTTGTTTATTTTAAACGAGCATTCGATTCAGTAAATCATGCGTTACTATGGAAATTTTTTTTCGGGAGGGGCGGGGAGAAGTTATTTGAATACACTAATAACGCAACTATAAGAATAAAGGGTGATAATGGCCTAACTAAAGCATTTGATGTTACGAGTGGTGTTTTGCGGGGGGAATCTCTGAGTCCACTATTATTTTCATTATTTATAGCTGACATCGAAATTTTTTTTTACTCTAACGGAGCTCAGGGGGTAAACATTGATGGTAAAAATGATGTCCTCACCTTACTTTATGCTGACGACATTGTTATTCTCGCCTACTCTGAGATAGACGTCGCTCAGAAACTCAACATTTTGGAATTGTATACATCTCTACTTGACCTCTCTGTCAACAGTGCAAAAACTAAAATAATGTCCTTTTCAAGGGGAGGTCTTCAACCAAGCGGGTACGGATTTTATTTCAAAAATGAGCCCGTTTCGGTGATGAATAAATATATTAATCTTGACGCAACATTCACCTCTTCTTGTTTATTTCGCGATATGGCTACAGTAGCTGCAGATAAAGCAAAACAAGCCGTAGGTGCAATCATCCCAATCATGTGTAAAGCCAAGATTGAGTCGTGGTTCCCTCGCGTAAAATTATCTGAATCTCTCGCATTGAGTACTGTTTGCCTGTTTGGGGATTGAGATACTTAGACATCTTAGAAAGAGTCCAAGTGATGATCTTCAAAAAAATACTGCTTGTTCATACTAAAATTCTCCATATAATGTGATCCGATTGGAAACTGGCAGAGTGAAATATGCCTATAATGTCTTCAAAATGTTATTGAACTGGTTACAAAAAGTCCTTAGTATGGATGATGACCGACTACCAAAAACTTCTTTGAGACAGCAAATTAATTCGCTGGGTACTATTGTCCAGTCAATTGCAGAAGTGTTTTATTTTTGCTGAAGCTGGGGACTTGTGGGATGAAGCTGTATTTCATAGCAGAATAAGAAAAAATAGGAGGGAGACAAAAATCCGTGAGCTAAAATCTAATATTTTTCCCGTGTATAATACACTATTTTTTTCTGTGACAGAAGAAAGGACGAATCGATATTGAGAAGATATAACATGGACACCTGCGTTGTAGGCATCTTTATCATTCTTTTGAAGTAATCAAATATCTGATGTCACTTCGGTCAGTCTGATTCTGTGATTTGATTTCAAAAAATTGCGAATTTAGTGGTTGTTTAGTAATATACGTAACCGCGAAGTCGAATGGAAAATAAAAGGACTTGCAGTTCTTTCTCGGAGACGGTATTATTGACTCATTTTTCGGAACTATATAGCACAACAAAAGCCATCAACAGTGAATATATATGTGATATATATCCGGGAAAAAAGTACTCACTTTTTTTCCACGGGAAAAAAGTAATTTATGAAAAGTGACATTTTATAACCCGCCAACAGAGATGAAATGCCAAACTTTTTTCCCGTCACAGAAAAAAGATATTATTATTATATTATTATTGAATTTTACTAATTCAAGGTTAGGAATGTCCAGCCCAAAGGTCCGTACTGCTTGTGCGGGTATTCCTACGGCAGCTTGGTAAGCCTGGAGGTGGGGTTGCAGCTGGAGAAGGCTGGGGAAAATGTGGAGATGGTCTCTCTGGATGGGTCTCCGGAGTATGTGAGGCACACCTTGGACCATGGCTTCCAGAGGATGGGAGGGTCGGTTGAGAAGTCCAAGATGGCGATCGTCGGGTCCTTCTTTCAGTTCTTCCAGTCCACCAAGCAAAATGAGGTAATAGTCCAAGACCGGTTGCAAATTCCGATCGTCATCTGATAACGATACCGTAAAACGTGGCTACTTTGCCAGAAATATCGAGTTTTTCTCGAATAATTATTGAACGGTGAATGATATGTATTCAATTTTGGCTCTTTCTGAAGTAGGTATGGAGAGAGAGTACCTATTTTATTTTTGAATTTTGAAATTGGCAAAGTATCCATACAACTTATGGTTACTTTGCCATGTGATTTTTGGCAAAGTTCATTCTTCAGATAAGATACTTTGCCATCCACCCATTAGTTTATAACAGGGGCTCCACAACCAGAACGAAGTAAACACAGATTTTTGATAAAACGTGTGATGAACCCCATATCCGGTCTCCAAAACTGATAAAGACATAAACAATGATTCATAAAAAACGAGTTTTATTATAAAAAAAACAAAATATTGAAAAAAATTAAATCAATGGAACTTAAGAGTAGTGAAGAGGCACCCATATTCAGCACACAGGTAAAGATCAGGTCCACAACCTGCCTCTCATCTATTTACTCAGCTCCGTTGGTGTACTTATATTTACCAGAATGATGTTGATGAACCTCTTATCTAAGGTTTTGTATTGTATCCTTGGTATATTGAATATTTTTGACGCTCTATTACATCGAAATGCCTTTTTTATTGCATCAACAGTCTGTTCTGAAGTTTTAGGAGTGTAATTTAAATAGTAACGACTCCTTAGTACTTTTTGTACTTCCTATATATAGATATGTTACGGGCCTGCAAATCATGACATACATTGTATGGCAATATCGTGATGGCAAATTAACCATGACATTGAAAAAAATATATCGTGGAACTTTGACAACCCCCAAAAATTCGTCATTTATCGTAAAAATGTCAATCTGTCATTAAAACGTCATAAAAAAAATCCAATTTCATACGCTGGTACCCACTTTAACCCTAGGCCACGTGACCAGAACCATACTCATTCCTAAAAGTATAGTACTTTTTTACATCAATTGTTTCTTGGAAATAATAAAGATGATGATGATGATTCTCCGAAATATTTACATAAAAAAAGATAAAGGTGGAAAAAAGGTACCTTTTTAACTGAATTTTACCCGCGCTCGCTAGCTTGTTCCGTTCAAAAGTCAAAGGGAGAGGACTTTTTCACGTCCTCACTATATATGATCTTATTAACAAACACTTTGTATAAAATTTAACGTCAACATTAAACAGGCAAAAATTGATGAGTCATCAGGAGGGTAGGATATTTCCGTTTTTTTGATTGGTAGAATTTCGCAGATATTTCTCAGTGGTTTTGGAGAAAGGAGTCTCGTTCCAAATGTTCTTTCAATGTCTAAATTTTTCACATGGTGCCATAGGATATATGTTTTTGTTGCTGAAAATTTGCGAATTATGTTTCATCTGTCTTATAGTTTCTTGATAACAGTATATTCTGGTGTTGAGTTGGCGGGAATTCAGTCGAAATGTTGAAGAAAACCAATTTTTTCTTCAACATTTCGACCGAATTCCCGCCAACTCAACACCAGAAATCATATTCAACGGTCGCCATTCTATTCAAGTATATTAAATGCGAGGCAATTATTTGATAAAGGGTAAATAATGTTCCTTAAAAATATCTAGTTGAGAAACAGATCTAAATTTTTGGGAACATATTTCAGTTTCGATGGATCTGAAATTTATGGCAATTGAGAAGTCCAAATAAAACTTGAAGAAAAAAGGTTTATAGCTGATTTATCATGAAATGCAAAAAAGTCAAACCAATGATTTTTCTTTCTCCTAATATTTTCTTGTTTTGATGTATTTTTATTATTTATATTCACTTTAAGAATTCACATTGTGAATAACAATAGATAAATAATGAATAAACTTTCCGGAAATTTTGGGACCACTCACTTATTAAAATATACTTCAAGTACCTACGTAATATAGCTATTAATGAACATAATGTTCAAAATCATTCATTAAAATAATTGTTTTAGAAAACATCCATTGGACTTTATTGACTGGCGATTTGGATAATTAAAAGACACCAACGTCTGGGAATTATGAGAAACAACAAGCGTTAAAAAACACTGTCATGAATTGATAGTTGTTGTTAGGCTCTTAGCACCATGTTTGGGATCACTTTCAAACACATCAAATTGTCGAACATGTCAACGTGATATACACGAAAATAAATTTAATATTTTCAATGGAGTCGTTCACATTGTTTAATTTACAAGGTGAATGATGAAGAAAATTGATGAACTAAAAATTGAAAAATCACTGTTTCCGACTTTTTTTTCCATAACGTATTCATGAATACACTAGCTCCTGCACCATAAGTCACTATAGGCCTGTTCGTTTGTGATAATCACCCTGCTAAAAAGTGATGTGAGCAATATTTGATGTTCATTTGTTCTGAGCAATTGATTAAGTGTTCGTTTAACTGGAGCAAGTTGCTATCATATACCTAATAACATGCAGTAGGTATATGTGATAGTAAATACCCCTTTTAACAACGGCAGTATTTATTAATATAACCAAAATACATAAAATATCCCTCTCACGCACAGATTCTACCTTTCGATGATTGACAAACCGAATTTCTTAATTATATTTCAAAAGTGACATCAGCTCTCAAAAAATCAAAATACGGGATGTTGTCGATGACTTTTTATCGAATCTATGGAAATTCTTCAGTCTCTCTCATATTATTCCCTCATATAAGCCTCATGAAAACTTAATGTATTTATACATTTCACAATTTTCGAGAATAACCGACACTAATTTTCTTTTTCGGAACATAGCGATTCACATCACGTTTAAACATATTCTTCTTCATCCCGGAATAATCTGGGCATATTTTTTATCGCACCTTGTATATCCATCGTCAAGAATAAATATAAATTTCATACTTCTGGAACTACAATCGTAATTTTTAGCATTTTATAATTCATCTTAACGAAAATTCATCATTTTGATTAAAAATGCGTACTTTCATTATATGTCCTTCGATCCAAGAAATTACAAAACCGTTTCGAGGTCAGACACCAGACATCCTCATGAAGAAGTAACACTCCATTATTTCACTAGTAACACAAAGAAAATTATGTTTCATCTACTGAAGACTACATTATTCTCCATTCTATCATTCAGTATTTCTTGTAACACTTTGTATAGACTTCTTCAGAATTTTCTGTGTTCGAACACGATCACATATCCGACGACTATACATTCAACGTTGATTCTTCGCAAAAGTATTCCAACTTCCAATTTCATTCAATTAATGGTCGAAAAAATGCATCATTTTGGATGAATATTCATAGCACGATTATCACAGCTCTGAATTTGAAAATTCCGAAAACGTTTCGAGAGAAAGCATCAATGAAGAGGATACAGGTGAGAAAACAAATCCAAAAAAGTATCTGTTCAAACGGTAAGGTGACGACCAGGATGCAATTTTACACCCATTCAATTATCACCCTGTAACAATGTTATCTGAAATCACAAAAGTTTCATATTGCCACAACAAACTGTCAAGAGATTGGGCTAATCAAAACTGTTTTAATCTTCTCCTGAAGATGCTAACATAGTTAGCGAAACACGTGTCGAGGCGTTAAAAAATCGGTTTGGTTAGTGGTAAAACAGTGTAGTGTACATTCAAACGTACTCAGGTTCCAAACCAACTAATAAGTCTATTCAAATAGTGAATTTGAAATGAATTCTTCGAATCGTTTATTCATATTTTCCTCATTTCTTGTCGATATTTTTTTTCTTGAATTTTCAATCCTCCAGATAGACGAGATTCTGAAACGGTCCAGTAGCTGGTCGGACAAACTACAGGGCGTTGGCGAATTGCTAGCCAAAGAAACCGGCCACGAAGCATCAGACATAGCCGCCTCGGCGGACCTTTTCTACAAAAGGTGTCACGCAGGGTTCTATTACGAGCCGCAGACCACCTTCAAAGGCAGAGTATTACTGGTCCGGCGGGAAGACAATCCTTTCTTGATGTCTGATAACTACGATTTGCAAAAGGTATGCTCAGAGTGTCTCGTGAAAACTAAAAATAACTGTCGAATTTTTATGTCACCGGAATAATAGAATATAGATCCATACTAATATTGTAAATGTGAATGTGAGTTTGTTTGTCGGGCTTTCACATCCAAACCCCTCCACCGATCATTATGAAATTTTGTTTACATATTCTTAGATTTATTAGAAAGGACATAGGATACTTATTATTAAAAAAAAAATAGTTTGTTTGTGGGGTTTTCATGCCAAAACTACTCAACCGATTATCATGAAATGTTGTTCTTATAAATAATCTTAGATGTATTTGAAAGGCCATAGGATACTTTCTATTGGAAAAAACGAAAAATTTTTCGGCGGGTGAAAACAATATTTTAACAGACATGTATTGGAAACAAAATATCCAACAATCAGACATGATATTGATTCTTTTGGGACTGGTAAATCTCGAATTATTTAGATGATGAAAATAATAAATATCTAACCAAACCTCTGGTGGACACTACGAAGGCGCAAAGTTATTACTGCATGGGAGATACCCTTCAGATATTTTGCTATTCTGTAACTTGATCACGAATGACATTGACGTTTTAGTCTTCTGCGCAACAAAAATGCACAATTCAATACTACCTGAGTAGGTAACTTATTTTTGTTGAAGTGAAATACAATTTAACTTTTGTTGTGTAAATTATCTCAATAAAGCATGTTTTTAGTTTTCGAAACTTAATTTTATGTAGTAATTTTTAAATACTGAATCCCAGCATTGATTCAGTTATATTGGAATGTAATGGTCTTTGATCTTTATTTAAGAAGCTATAGTACCTACTTAATAGAAGAATACTTTTATTACTATGATAGTAAACAAACGAATTGTTGATATTTTTTTTTATTATTCTTTAGGTATGTCAGCAGCCCGTCAAAGTCGTGAAGATACAGGGCGATCACAAAACGATTTTACTGGGTGAAAACACCAGGATAGTAGCCAATATTATTAATGATACGTGTTTATCTAATTGAATCTTGTATGTTTATTATGCAGAAAATAAATTATTTTTAAAACAAAAACACTATATAGTATCCATCTCGCAAATCATGAAGATAAAAGGTTCCGAATAGTATTAATAAGTAAAATAGGTATATATCGGTCAGATAGGTAAAACATTGAACCACCGCATTCAGGAACATCAAATTAGTTGCTTATATAGAACAAATAACACTTTGGGAACTCCATGGCAGTTGGAATAAAATCTTGATCTGATTTTCATTCAGTTTTGATAAGTAATAGGAGTGCGGTATATTTCTACCAAGTATGAAAAGATTATACAAAGTGGTTCAAAAATTATGACCAGATGAAGATTTTGCCACAATCAAGATAACGTCCTGTATCTCAGGTATAAATGGCGGTAGACACAAAGACACATCAATGAGGGGTGATTTGGAACCATCAAAGTGTTTTCTATCTACAGTTACAGTTTGTACATTTAGATCTGAAACACCCTGTATGATGTGGTATACATGTTAACCACTTAAAAAAAAGATACAAATATGTTTCCTCAGTCCAGTTTGGATAAGATGTCGCGAAAACAAAGTTTTGCAAACCTTGTACCTTACGTTCATTGGTGTTGTGTATACCAGGCAAATAATTAATTTGAATTTAACAATAGGTGAACGTTGTCCCAACCAGTCTGATACTTACACTCTGAACGTATACTGGATGATGTAGATAGTGCAATATCATATTAGATAGTGCAAGTTTCTAAAAAAATCGGATTACGATTTTGGTCCGGTGTTCCGTTGAAGTGGATATTTCTTGGATTTTTCATTACTTAAATCGAAATTCTGGTGAGTCGATGAACTTTTAAAATTATTATTGAGTATCGGAGAATAAGTATACCTAGGTATATCATATTTCTCATTGTGAACTTTATTTATCACGAATTGATTGTCTTATTCTATCTTAATTCATGTGATTGATAATTTTTTTGTGATCCCTGAAGATACGGAGTTTTTCGTTTTTATTACCAGAACCAATAATTTATCATCATCATTATTCATAATATATACATATAAAACATACATATATAATCATTTTCAAACAAACATTTACCGTTTCGAATCGATTTCAAATAAGAATTTGTACTTAGTCAAATCAAATTGAAGGATTTCCAGGAAGAGTAATAATAAGGTGGTGAAAGAGTTAGCTATGATTCTTTTTACATTCCAGACTTGGAAAATAGCTAAATATACATTATTCAAAATATTGTACCTTCAAAAAGTGCGCAGGATATGACTTAGTTAAAATTTGGAATTTAAATATCAGAATATTGAGAGGAACTGACCAGTGAGTAGGTATAGTCCTCTACCTTATATTATACCTATATACCTCTTGGTCGAGCTCTTGGTATACCTTATTCAACCTTTTTACAGGATAGAAAAGCGGAACCCCTCCAATTTTTTGTGTGTGTGTATATAAGTACACCCAGTATAGGGCTCTGTATAGTATATTATCTAACGCTATAAGTGCTGAGGACTCACCTCGGTAGGTATCATTTGAGATCTTGAAAACTTCTTGGTAAGTTTCTCATGAGTTTTCATGTAAATATTATAATTGTTGTCTATAAAAACTCATCATGACATATTAGTGAAAATTTCATACCGGTTATCAACCAATCAGATGCTTTATTTCGATATTGTTACAATATGGTAACCATCAAATTTTTTGGAAATTTTTCATCCACATGAGCATGTAGAGTAATGTAGACGTAAAATTAATAAGTGGAAATTTTCTACCTAATTCGACAAAATTTATATAATTTTGACAATATTTTTCATTTTTCGGAAACCTAGTATAATGTATAAAGTAATGTATCTGATACTATGATTTTATTTTACTAGGGTACAGGTAGAGTGAATATCATTTAATGTTTTTTTTTTTAAATATAATCCCGGTACAAAATCCACTTGCATGAATTAATTGCAAGAAATTTGTCTCGTACATGAATCTTTGAAGAAAATTCATGTACTCAAAAATTTTTGGGCAATAATTCATTCCCTAGGGGTATTATAAAGTGACAACACTGACAACTCATCCTTTCACTTCAAATTCACACTAAATGAGATGCTGAATGAATAACATCAATAAAGTGGCTTTCGAATTATGTATTATGTTTTTTCAACTGCAAACCTGACATAACCTCAATATTCAACACAACGAAGCCACAAAGATGTAACAGTCACAGAGTGAAACCAATTTTGAAACTTTATCACTTCTTGTTCTTGCATTTTCAAGGGATGTGTATCTTGTTCCAACTGTCCGTTGTTTCGGACAGCATTGGAAGTTACAGTAGTAGACGCAAGAAGAAGAAGACCCGTGAGTCTCTACACAAGTAGGCGCACTGCTCTGTGGTAGGCGTAGCGATTGGCATTTGTTTCTCAAAATAAAATTAATCGAGTCCGAGCGTGAGTGTAAAAACTCTGGTAAAAAGCCATGTTTGTTTTAGTTTTTCATTCGATATTTCAGTGTAAACTAGTGAAAATGTGTGAGCAATGGAGAGTGAAGACGCTAATGAAAAGAAACTTACTATAATATACAGGCGGTGACATTTGGAAAACCCTCCCCACCCTCACAATATCTTCCTTACAGTGAATAATATGAGGAATCGAAGATACAGGTCGATTTTATTTTCAAGGGAGACACTCAAAATTATCAGTTTTAGCCCTCTTGGTTGAAACCCTTAGGAGGGGTAAATGTTAACCTTAGAATCTCAAATAGGAAGGGGAATCAAGTGGCACATCATTTTGACGGGTGTTCAATTCTCTCCAACGATACACTAGTTTATCATTTTCTGTTGAGCCAGTTTCCGAGAAATGCCATATCAATTAGAAAACTTCCCACCCTTAATATGCTCCTTTCAGTAAATAACATGCAAAAATTGCAAAATTGCAAAATCGAAAACATAGTTGAATTTCATTCTCAAGGGGGACACTTTAAAATGCATGTTTTTAGACCTCTTCTTGATTCTCCATAATATTGATTGAAAGGAAGAAAATTGAGGGTGGGAAATTTTCAAAGTGACACGTACCCTGTATACGAATTTAGCGAGAGATTACTGATGAAAATGATGACTATAGACATGATAGTAACTATGAATGATACAGGTAAGTGCATAATATCACATGCATGTCCATTTAGGTGTATTCTTTTCTCAATTCTTGTTCCTTTCTTGTCGGCTATATTTCACAGATTCCACATGTCATGACTCCATTCAAGAATTTGCCTTTGGGTTCCTAGAGTGATTTTAAGTAAATAGCATTCTCGCCTCATACGACCTCATACCTCATACCTTCGCCATTCATTTGAATAAGTAAAGAAAGTTTTTTCTCAGAAAAACTTTGTTGTCGCTATCACCTATCGATAATAAATACAGTTAATTTACTCTGTAGCTAAGTACCTACTTAACAAAATTAAATTGTCAGTTGAGATCAATTAATAAGTTCCAAGTTCATAACGAGAATATAGCTGGTTCATCAACATCATAATTATTAAAAAAAAACCTTAGGAATGAGGTCAATTTCTGTGAATTACCGGCCTCCTTAATCTATTGACAATATGAAATTCTAGGAAATCTGATATTATTAAATTAATTCATCGAAGATACTTGATGGTGAAATGCGAGTGAAATGGGAGGTGAAATACAACTATACACTATACCGTGATCGAAACCACACAGCCCTCGGTAAAGTCTATCTCAATATCAAGATCAATATATCTTCTTATTTATCTGGAAAGTACCTATATGCCTATAAACATTTCATTGCCTTGGGATAGTGGTAGTAGATAGTATATCACTTCGGTATTATTTTTATACATTCAATAATTACTATAGGTAGGTAGGTACCTCAATTCCCCCTCACAAAACATTCAATTTATTTTGAAAAAATGAAATAGGTAATCAAATTTTATGAATAGCATTTTCACTTATAATAAATACAATGAGAGCATCAATTATCACCGGAAATTTTTTCAAGCATACGACCGTTTTGAAAATTTTCCCGAGTCGTGTACGAGGGAGTTTTCGAATATTTGTGTTCCAGTAAACATTGTCGGGTTTTAATTGAAGCTAGATTGATATTTGATAAGGAGATTTCACACCGAAATGTTAAAAAAAAACTAATAAAGTAAGTACATACCAAAAATTCAGTTAGGAAAAATGTTGTCAAGGTTGCTGGTGGTAGTTCAAACCATTATTATTGACTAAATTTATTCCACTAACGTCGATGCAATATGTAGTATTAATCAAATTCACATCCATAACATTGTTAGGTTGAATAAAACACAATAATAAACTTACTTTGGTAACACAAAATGAAAAGTAATAAGTCGATAGTAGTTCATCTTTTCAGTATTCCACAAATTCTTTGAGAATCCATACTAGTCGGTAGAAATATATATAATCACAAGAAACTTGAAGTAGGTACCATTTAGTATCAATGAAATGGGCTTATATCCCAAAAAAAAATTTATTTCATAATTCGATAGAACTCACCCAAACTAGCTCACCACCGAAAACCGTTTCTCGCTGTGAGCTCCCTACGTTTTATAAAAAATTATTGAAATCCCCGATTTTTCGGACCTCTGAAAACGAGGCGATGATGTGACATCAAAACCCTAATACTGAAACAAGACTATTCCAGGCAGAGATTAATGATATATGATTTCTGATAGAGTGAATTAGCGCAAGATCACAGTTGAAAGAATCAATATATCAGTTGCCTCAGTCTCCGTCGAGCATTTGGTATTTTCTTTTAACTATGGCAAGATGAGGTTTCTACGTCATAAGAGGGTCTGTTTTCTGAAGGTACTATTATTTATGCCCAAAAATAAAATATTCCTAGTTAATTTTTCGATCGAATTATGTCGTCAATCATTATTTATGTATGAAAGGATCATTATATAAACATGGTTTGAGTTAAAAGTTCTACTAAGGTGTACACGCCCATTTGCTTACGTAATATTATTTATTAGCTTGAATAACATAATATGCACTATATAAGT